AAAACAACATGACCAGACCAACACCAGACCCACATGTTCTCTTTAACACATACAAGATTTTCAAAAAAGTAAAATATGTAGCCCATTCCAAATAGACTTACACAAACTTTATTGATCCACAAGGGTTAGGGATTTGATTTATTTAATTCAGTTTCCCTTGTGGATAAATAAAGGTTTGTCTAAATACTTGGAATATAAGTAAAATCATAAAATAGCAACTACAGAAACCAAAGATATTTTCACCAGTGCTCAGTAATCCGTATTAAAAACTTAAAAACTCACCGTTGTTTCTCTGAGTCGGGGGCCTTAAGCAATTCATATAAACATACGGATCATCCGCCGACATCTCTGCTGCTCTCAAATCCAACTGAACACAGACTGAGCGAGACACAACACAATATGGCTCTTTGAACATTTTGGGTTGCTTACCCCTGCCCTAGACTAACCGCGGACTAAACTCGGACTAAACCCGGACTAACCCAGGACTAACCCAGGACTAAACCCGGACTGAACCAGGTCTAACTCAGGACGAAACCAGGCCTGAGGTGAGGAAATAAGAATTTATTTTTGAACAGTTACAGGGTCACGTGACCTGGCAAGAGATGGACGCCTGAAACTTGCGGTCCCACTGCTCAAGGGTAAAATGTGCTGATTATCCTCCGTATTGCTCAGTAAGATTGGAAATAGATTATGCCTCGTGTCGCAAATCATGTCTTTGGACACTAAGTCTACTGTGAATACGAAGGTTAACTCACCGTTGTTTCTCTGAGTCGGGGGCCTTAAGCAATTCATATAAACATACGGATCATCCGCCGACATCTCTGCTGCTCTCAAATCCAACTGAACACAGACTGAGCGAAGGTTCACGATTACACTTTAAAAAGTGATTCAACACCTGTTCCATATTTGTACATGTGGGCACCAAAAACAACTTCCTCATTTTAAGAAGACGTTGAGTCAGAGTTTGAGGAATCACAGAAGTGTATTTCCGTGCTCTCCACAGTATCTGATATTAAAGGTGTATTGTGTAACATGTGGAGGAGGGTCTGTCACCTGCCGGTCTCCATGGTGATACCGGTGTTTCTGGAATGTTCCTGCAGTACGGCGTCAAAGTGTTAAAAACGGAACCCAACTTTCCTCACAACAATCTTTAATCACTGGTTCACTGCGGTTCCTTCGTAGGACAAAATTAGAAAGCACTGACCCTAGACCAGGGGTCGGCAACCCGCGGCTCCAGAGCCGCATGCGGCTCCTCAGCACGGCCCTAGTGGCTCCCTGGAGCTTTTTCAAAAATAAGTGAAAATGGAAAAGAAATAATTTTTTTGGTTGTTGTTTTAATCTGGTTTCTTTAGGAGTAAAACCCTTGTTCATCTCTGGTCATGGATCTGATCCATCAGCTGTGTGCAAATGAAACACATGAAACGTGTTTCAGCAGAACAAATAGATGAGGTGAAGCGGGGGGTGGTGTCCACCTCCACCTGAGAAGCGCTTTCCCCCAAAAAAACAAAAAAAACAAAACACGTGCGCAGACGGACGCTCAGATCAACATATAATGAACCAAACTGGATTCACACTTCTGTCTGGATGCTGCACCACCTCAGAACCAGCCGCGGTCGAGCGCGAAGGACCGGAGCAGCCCGGACCTGTGGTCCACAGCGCATTCTCGCTTTTCCCACACGGAACCAGCGCACAGATGACGGCACTGAAGCACTCAGACCCAGTTCTTTGTGCGCTGGTCTTGCTCGCCCCCGTCTGGAACCAAGACATGGAGGACGAAGCCTCCGGACAATCTGACCAACACTGGACCCACAGCCCCGTCATGAGTGGCTGTGCGCTGACTGCTCCAGTGTGTTTGGCGCTGCTGCCCGAGCTCAGAGCTTCTACTCCGGGCTGATGTTGTGTACAAAGTTCTACATGCTGCTGTTTTCTGAGTGCTCCTGTACGATCAAAAGAAATGCGACTGCTGCTCTGAATACTTCCATCATCGTCGTCAAAGCAACAGGTAAACGTCGGTCGCACTTTCAGCGCGTCAACTCCTAAAACTCTGTTTATCTCAGTTTACACGCAAACGTGAAACTGGAGTTTTCCAAAATCTCCACTCTAGCTGTAGTTTTTAGAAAGATTTGTTTTCAGAGGCGAATTCTCCATTTGTGTGTAAATGATGTGAACAAACGAAGGGAAATGTCTCAGTTTAAAAAAAATACCTGTACGTGTAAATGGGGCCTAAATGACAAAGGAATAAACACTAACCACCTGATTTCAGTGGCTACAGACGGTGCACCGAGTATGAGAGGGTCACAGAGGGTTTGTGTATCATGAATGCACATTTTGTATTTGTAGCCGACTTAGTCATTTTAATATTAGGCTTATACAGCTCATATACTGACAGCCTGTGTTGCCTTCATATTAGGCTTATATAAGGCTTTTCATTTTTGGCAGCTCCAGGCAGGTCTGGTTTTTGTTTTTTTGGGCCAATATGGCTCTTTGAACATTTTGGGTTGCTTACCCCTGCCTTAGACTAACCGCGGACTAAACCCGGACTAAACCCGGACTAACCCAGGACTAACCCAGGACTGAACCAGGTCTAACTCAGGACGAAACCAGGCCTGAGGTGAGGAAATAAGAATTTATTTTTGAACAGTTACAGGGTCACGTGACCTGGCAAGAGATGGACGCCTGAAACTTGCGGTCCCACTGCTCAAGGGTAAAATGTGCTGATTATCCTCCGTATTGCTCAGTAAGATTGGAAATAGATTATGCCTCGTGTCGCAAATCATGTCTTTGGACACTAAGTCTACTGTGAATACGAAGGAATCGAGAAAGCTCAGATCCGCGATGCAAAGTCAATTACAAGTTAGCACAGCTAGCGGGGAAGCTAACAATCCTACCAGCATCGCTAAACCAGCCGGGGAAAATATGTCACATGTCCATGATATGCTCGCTAAGATATTAGAGGAAACTGCGGATCTGAAGGAAATCCGCCGCTCAGTGAAATCTGTGGATGACAAACTTTCAACTCTGATCTCACGAATGACCACAGTGGAAGAGCGCGTGAGTAAGACGAGCAAGCTAACATGAAACTAGCCCAGCCGCTACTAAAACTGAGATACAGACATTAATAAATAGAGTGGCTAGCCTCGAGGACAGGTCCAGACGAAACAATCTGCGTTTTGTGGGGATACCAGAAGGCTCGGAAAAGCAAGATATTATAGCCTTTTTAAACAACTTCATCTGTAGTTCTCTGGACGTCGACCCGCCACCAGGTGGATTAGAGATGGACCGAGCTCACAGGGTTGGTTGGTGGATCTCAGGTGACGCTAACCGGGCGATCACAGCTCGCTTTCTACGCTTCAAAGACCGACAGCTTATTATGGAAGCTGCAAGGAGTAAGAGGCGAATAATGTGGAATGAAAAACAAGTGATGATCTTCCCGGATTTCCCCAAAGAAACTCAGAAACTGAGAGAAGCATTCACTGACTGTAAAAGGGCATTACATGAGCATAACATTAAATTTGACACACTCTATCCAGCCCAACTGAAAATTTTCGCACCCGGGAACAACCCGCAGATTTTCGAGGATGCCAAACAAGCTATGGACTACTTGATAAAGGCTTCTTACCAGAGACATTAAGATAAACCCTTGTACTTACTGAACGCTTCCTTATATATATATATATATATATATATATATATATATATATATATATATATATATATATATATAATATAATACATAAATATATATTTTTTAAATCCAATAAAGTAATAAAGATATGGTTTTCATACATACAATGAGCGATTTTTTTGGGGGGGGGGGTTGGGGGGATTCTGCATCATCTTAAAAATAAAAGGCAAGATGTAGTGTTCTTGCAAGAAACCCATATGTCTTCGCTAGAATCTACTGAACTGAACTGAACACGATTACACTTTAAAAAGTGTTTCAACATCTGTTCCATATTTGTACATGTGGGCACCAAAAACAACTTCCTCATTTTAAGAAGACGTTGAGTCAGAGTTTGAGGAATCACACACGTGCATGTCTGTGCTCTCCACAGTATCTGATATTAAAGGTGTGTTGTGTAACATGTGGAGGAGGGTCTGTCACCGTCCGGTCTCCATGGTGATACCGGTGTTTCTGGAATGTTCCTGCAGTACGGCGTCAGAGTGTTACTGCTAAAAACGGAACCCAACTTTCCTCACAACAATCTTTCGTCACTGGTTCACTGCGGTTCCTTCGTAGGACAAAATTAGAAACCGCTGACCTCAGACTAACCCCGGACTGAACCAGGCTTGGGTGAGGAAATAGCAATTTATTTTTGGACAGAATAGCAAAATAAAAACAGCAGAATCATGTAGAGTGGGAAAATATGAACATTTTAAGACCAAAATGATGCGGCTCACAGCAGCAGGTACAGAGACTTTCACTTGTTGTTGTTGGTGTAACAGGCAAGAGACCCACTGTAAGAAGAACATACAGGATCCGCCTTACAGTCAGCGTAAATCCAGTCTAAACCAGGACTAAACTGGGTCTAAATCAGGTCTAAACCAGGACTACACCAGGACTAACCAGGACTAAACCAGGTATAAACCAGGACTAAACCAGGAGTACACCAGGTCCCCACAACTAAACCAAGACTACACCAGGTCCCCAGAACTAAACCAGGACTACACCAGGTCCCCAGAACTAAACCAGGACTACACCAGGTCCCAGAACCAGGACTACACCAGGACTAAACCAGGTCCCCAGAAACCAGGACTACACCAGGTCCCCAGAACTAAACCAGGACTACACCAGGTCTAAACCAGAACTAAACCAGGACTACACCAGGTCCCCAGATACTAAACCAGGACTACACCAGGTCCCCAGGAACTAAACCAGGACTACACCAGGTCCCCAGGACTAAACCAGGACTACACCAGGTCTAAACCAGGACTACACCAGGACTAAACCAGGTCCCCAGGACTACACCAGGACTAAACCAGGACTAAACCAGGACTAAACCAGGACTAAACCAGGTCCCCAGGATTAAATCAGGACTACACCAGGTCCCCAGGATTAAACCAGGTCATTTCGTTTATACATTTATATCTACAGAAGTTTAGTCGATTGGGGTAAATGAAAAAAAAAAAAAAAAAAGGCAATTGATAGTTTTTATTTGAAGAAATCCACATCCAGATAAAGTGTCAGATTTGTGTGTCTCCAAACAAACAGACACAGCAGAGACACGTCCAACTGTCCAAACCTACAATGAAAAACCAGTGTTACTCACTCAAATATTTAAAGTAACATCATAAATATTTTTAGTTATCATTTCTAAGAATATGTGAGTTAACAGAACTTCAGAGAGCCTTGTGTGATTAAGTGTGTGTGTATTATTCATGTTTAACTCATGTTCCTAAAGTAGAATGAGGCAATCGGTTTCCTGACTTTTTATTAAAGAAGATTAAACAATATTATCAGGGTTTACAGGACATATATACATTTTTACAACATATAATAGTAACAAAGTTCATCCAGTTACCACAAACAACTGATCTAACAAACAGGAAACCACCGAAACTCCACCCACAGACTCTGTCCAAACGAGCTCTAAAAGTGCCAAACAGGGCAGTGACTAAGATGTAAATGAACATAGTTTGAAGTACAATGGCAAAGAATCCAATAAATACATGATGTTGTACTTTTACTTGCAAAAAAAAAAAAAAGATTACATTTTTACTCCCACTTTAAAGTTATTATTTAATGTACTTTCTATTTCCACAGTTTATAGATGGTGTTCCTCTCACATTTTTTGTCAAACCAACATTTCTTTTCCTTCACGATCATGGCCTGTGCAATAGGTGAATTTCATTGTTATTAAAAGTCCGCGTTGCTGCTGGGAAATATTTTGGTCGGTGGCAAGAAACACGGTAGCGTCAAACACAGTGCGTAACCTCGTGTATTTATCCCCGATAATGGTAAATTTCTGCTGCATTATCGGACGCACAAATAGAAACACGGAAGAAGGAAAAATGTGAGAACGTAGAAGATCCTAACAAACCGTGGACTCCAACAAGTTCAACAACACATCGAGACTCTTGGAGGTTTTCATCTTTTCTGCTGTGAATGGCCCAGGAGTTTCCACCAAGTCATTGTGGATATCGCCCAAGTGAATATTTGTCCAGGTAGTTGGAGATTCTGACCAGAAATTTGGTTTGGTCCAGACTCTGTCGGGGTTGAAAAGGGTGATTTGTCGTCCGTCGATGTTTATGACCAATTTCTGGTCAAATGGTCTTGGGTCCTCTGCCGTTAGAGTGGATAAATAACCGCGATCAATACCCTTTACGTGCTTTCTCGCTCCGTCCATCATGTTGAATTAGTGTTTCTTGCCGCCGACCAAAATAATTCCCAGCAGCAACGCGCGCTTTTGTCAACAATGAAACTCTCCTGTTGTCTGAGTCCAAACGTGTTTTCACCGAGGGGCGTGTTGTGTTTAAAGTGTGATTCTCACAGATGTGCACGTTTAACAGCTTCAGAATTCAGCTTTAAGGAGGTTTGAAAATAAGACATAGCGGTAGAAATATTTACATTTACATGAATAAAAAGCAGCATTTCACACCGGGGCCTTCAGTCGAGCTCCGTCTGAAACATCCACTCCTCAAGAAAGATTTTATGGTTATAAAAGTGTTTTATTTTACAGAAACACAGAATAAAGAGCCGTAAACCAGGACTAAACCAGAACTAAACCAGGACTTAAACCAGGACTGTTTCTCGGGACTGGCCCGAAGGCCCACGTGACTGTCGGGTGACCGCAGACGAAAGGACTGCGCAGGGGCCGGTTCTCCGCCGCTCTGCATGGGACACTGCAGACACTGTGGACACTCTCTCTCAAGTCCAAGATCAGTCCTGGTGTAGTCCTGATTTAGACCTGGTTTAGACCTGGTGTAGTCCTGATTTAGACCTGGTTTAGACCTGGTTTAGACCTGGTTTAGACCTGGTTTAGACCTGGTTTAGTCCTGGTTTAGTCCTGGTTTAGACCTGGTTTAGTCCTGGTTTAGACCTGGTGTAGTCCTGGTTTAGTCCTGGTTTAGACCTGGTGTAGTCCTGGTTTAGTCCTGGTTTAGACCTGGTTTAGTCCTGGTTAGACCTGGTTTAGTCCTGGTTTAGTCCTGGTTTAGACCTGGTTTAGACCTGGTTTAGACCTGGTTTAGACCTGGTTTAGTCCTGGTTTAGTCCTGGTTTAGACCTGGTTTAGTCCTGGTTTAGACCTGGTTTAGACCTGGTTTAGTCCTGGTTTAGTCCTGGTTTAGTCCTGGTTTAGACCTGGTTTAGTCCTGGTTTAGTCCTGGTTTAGACCTGGTTTAGTCCTGGTTTAGTCCTGGTTTAGACCTGGTTTAGTCCTGGTTTAGTCCTAGTCCTGGTTTAGTCCTGGTTTAGACCTGGTTTAGTTTAGTCCTGGTTTAGTCCTGGTTTAGTCCTGGTTTAGTCCTGGTTTTAGAACCTGGTTTAGACCTGGTTTAGACCTGGTTTAGACCTGGTTTAGTCCTGGTTTAGTCCTGGTTTAGTCCTGGTTTAGTCCTGGTTTAGACCTGGTTTTAGTCCTGGTTTAGTCCTGGTTTAGACCTGGTTTTAGTCCTGGTTTAGTCCTGGTTTAGTCCTGGTTTAGACCTGGTTTAGTCCTGGTTTAGACCTGGTTTAGTCCTGGTTTAGTCCTGGTTTAGTCCTGGTTTAGACCTGGTTTAGACCTGGTTTAGACCTGGTTTAGACCTGGTTTAGTCCTGGTTTAGTCCTGGTTCCGTTACAGATGCAGTTTGCTGCTTTGGCTGGTGACTCTGGCCCTGGCGACACCAACTCAAAATCTGATTGGTTGAAGCAGCAGTTTCATGAACATTTATTTAGTGTTCGACTTCCTGCAGGACGGATTGTGAAGGACTCAGACTCTGTGACTTTGACTCTGCCCGGCAACAACTGACGACTGAAATGTGATTGGTCAAATGCTTTAATATGAAAACCCATGTGTGGAAGCAGAACAAGCATCAGAAAAACTCTGAAAGGAAGTGGACAGAACATTTGGAATTATTTTTTTGTCATATATATTTTAATAAATAACATTACAACATAGAGCAGGAAATAGCTTCAACAGAAAAGTTACATGGTGCATCTTTAAATGTATATTTCTACACTTCCTGTGTCATTTCTATGGACTTTCTGGAGATGCTGTTTTCTCGCAGATGAATCTGTTGGATGTTCCACAGTGCTGATCAAACCAACACTTCTCCTCAAACCCAGAGCCCGTTTTCTTCCCGATCCGTCCACAGTCTTCTCCTTCTGGATAAAAAAATACTCATATCGAATTTTTCCAGTTGTCTGGTTGAATATTGTCCCCATATCTATACCAAAAAGACAAACTACATGGAAACACAAACAGAACAGTTGGAGTTACTGCTGGAGCTCGACCATGTGTGGATTTACAATACTGATTGTTTACAATACAAAGCAACAGACCGACAAATATTTTTTTCTGTAGCTTCATCTCACCTTGGGTCCAGAGCAGAACCATCGATCCACTTCCACTTTCCCTCAGTCTCAGAGTCTGTCAGTCCGATCCAGAACTTCTCTTCATCCTCTGACATCAGATGTCTCACTTTACCAAACAGGAACCTCTAAAACCACAAATCCACAGTTCGTCTCCACGGGCAGAGCAGAGAGTCACAAACATTTTTCTTCACTGGACCAGAATAGAGTCTTGTTTCCATGGGCACAGAATGGGGCGTTTCAGGGGTCTCAAGTGGACCACTGGAGGTATGACCGTCCAAACGGTTCTGGGACTTGAGACGCCTCGCAGGGGGCGGGGTTAGTCATTGGAGGACCAGCAGCACCTTCAGTGCAGGTGCTCACGCGTCACAACAAACGGCACAAACACGATCATGTTTAAAGAGACCGACATGTGTTACTTTACCAGTTTATCTTGATGACATGTTTCAGCTGCTGTCGTCAGTTTTAAAGATGATCTGCAGCTGAAACATGTCCTCACGGTAAACACACCTCCTACTGTACTGTCTTTAAAAAGGCCAAACTCACTGTGCCAGTGGAAACAAGACTTATGTGAAGATCTGAGGGACAAACATGAGATTCATGATGGGCCACAGAATAAAGAATAATAATGTGAGGAGAAGTGCTCCTCACCTGCTCCTCTCGGCTCTCGATCTTCACCAGGTCTCCAGAAGCTTTTTGACATTGTCTTCTGCTTTGGCTCCATGATAACTTCAATGTGGAAAAATAATAACAGCTTGTTCCATTCAGCTCCCAGTCCACGTCACAGTGAAGTCTCAATGAACGTCTCGGAACTGGAAGAGACGATGTCAGATTAGTTTAAGGATGAAACGAGGAGCAGCAGGTCACACTGTGTTAACACAGAGTGTAGAAGTGTGAAGAATCCCTCAGTCGTTCAAGGTAGAATCCACAGCAAAAGAGAAATTCAATTTGTCACCTGGACAAAAGTTTCTCAGTTCATCCAAGCTGCTTCTTCAGTTCTGGTCAGACGCTGGTGGACACTTCCTTATATCTGCCTGAAGGAGGAGCTAACTGCACTGAAACTACTCTGAAACTAACACTCTACTTGTTCACAGTTTCTGTTGTTTAGCTCGGCCTATTGAACTGCACTGAGTGTGGGCTCATATCAGCAGAATCATTCAGGATCATAATTAGAGCTTTCACACCTCTGGCCCTGATCTGGCTGCACCTGTTGTTCTCTTCTCTCTTCTCTTGTTCTCTCTCCTTAGGACCTCAGAGGAGCGTCCTGGAGCTTTTAGGTGGAGATGAACAGCAGACTGAGGTCCACTGTTGCTCTCTCGTCTGTGTTGGTCCATCTTCACAAGGAAGTGTCCACCAGCGTCTGAACTGAACTGAAGAAGCAGAAGGATTGAAACAAAATAAACATTTGTCCAGTTGACAAATTGGATTTCTCCTTTTGACACAGAGTCTTTTGTCCCTCAGGTTTGTCTGCCCCCTCGGCTTTAGTCCTGGGGGGTTCAACTAACTGACCAGATACACACTGTGTCCCAAAACAGTTCATTTCTAGCTCATTGTGGTGTTCCTAGAAACGTGCTCTATAAATCGGAACAATTATATTATTATTCTCATATATATATATATGAAGTCGATTTTCTCACATCAATAAAGTAGATAAAGTTCCAGACTCACAAAAAAGGACGACAACAGTGATGATCAGAGCCACAGACACGAGCACAGCCACAGTCAACACTGCCACCTTCACCCGTCTCCCAGAACAGACTCCTGCTCACACAACTCAAGTTTTACACCACACACCAGTGTTAAAAACAACATGACCAGACCAGCACCAGACCCACATGTTCTCTTTAACACATACACGTTATAGTGCATTTTTGAACAGTAAAAAATGTAGCCTATTTGAAATATTTAAATAAGTAAATACTTATAAGTAAAATAATAAAATAGTAACTACAGAAACCACGGCAGATATTTTCACCAGCGCTCAATATGCATTAAAAACTCACCGTTGTGTCTCCGAGTTGGGGAACCTGGGTAATTGACATAAACAGGCTCTTCGTCTGCCGACATCTCTGCCGCTCTTAAAACCAACTGAACAAACACTGTGTTCGAAATCTATTCCATATATGTACATGTAGGCACCAAAAACAAGTTCCCCATTTGAGAAACACGTTGAGTCAGAGTTTGATGTGTGAAATCAGAACATGTCTGTCGCAAACGGCAAATTCGCCTCTGAAAACAAATCTTTCTAAAAACTACAGCTAGAGTGGAGATTTTAGAAAACTCGTTTGCGTGTAAACTGAGATAAACAGAGTTTTAGGAGTTGACGCGCTGAAAGTGCGACCGACGTTTACCTGTTGCTTTGACGACGATGATGGAAGTATTCAGAGCAGCAGTCGCATTTCTTTTGATCGTACAGGAGCACTCAGAAAACAGCAGCATGTAGAACTTTGTACGCAACATCAGCCCGGAGTAGAAGCTCTGAGCTCGGGCAGCAGCGCCAAACACACTGGAGCAGTGAACGCACAGCCACTCATGACGGGGCTGTGGGTCCAGTGTTGGTCAGATTGTCCGGAGGCTTCGTCCTCCATGTCTTGGTTCCAGACGGGGGCGAGCAAGACCAGCGCACAAAGAACTGGGTCTGAGTGCTTCAGTGCCGTCATCTGTGCGCTGGTTCCGTGTGGGAAAAGCGAGAATGCGCTGTGGACCACAGGTCCGGGCTGCTCCGGTCCTTCGCGCTCGACCGCGGCTGGTTCTGAGGTGGTGCAGCATCCAGACAGAAGTGTGAATCCAGTTTGGTTCGTTATATGTTGATCTGAGCGTCCGTCTGCGCACGTGTTTTGTTTTTTTTTGTTTTTTTGGGGGGGAAAGCGCTTCTCAGGTGGAGGTGGACACCACCCCCCGCTTCACCTCATCTATTTGTTCTGCTGAAACACGTTTCATGTGTTTCATTTGCACACAGCTGATGGATCAGATCCATGACCAGAGATGAACAGGGGCTCAGAGTTCAGTGATTTTACCACTTCTTTAACAGATCTCCGGAGAAGCGAGTCGCTCACTAATGCAGGTTTTTCAAGGTATTTGTGAGTAAAACTTACAGCTGTAATGAAATAAAAGCTACAGGTTTGAGTCTAATCCAGGTGCCGCCCAGAGGCTTGGTGTGGTTATGACGGCGTTCGATGGCATATTTATCCGGATTGATGTAAACGGATACTTTTTTGAAAACAATGCTGTGTGCACGATGTTATTTTGGAAAACGGAGGGAGGGAAATATTTCTTTCTCTAAATACCTCGGCTACGTGTAAACGTAGCCTAAAAACGGCACCAAACTTCCCCCACAACAATCTTTTTTCACTGGTTCACTGCAGTTCCTTCGCAGGACAAAATTAGAAAGCACTGACCCCGGACTAACCCCGGACTAAACCAGGACTAACCCAGGACTAACCCTGGACTAACCCAGGACTAACCCAGGACTAACTCAGGACTAAACCAGGACTAAACCAGGCCTAACCCAGGACTAAACCAGGACTAACCCAGGACTAAAACAGGTCCATAGACTGTATGAAGAAGTAGACTAAGGTCTGACGTCACCCACAGCGTTTGGCTTCAGTCAAATGAAGCTCACCAAGGCCGACAGTTATAGGAGCAAATTTGTGAATTTATCCATCCATCCATGGTTTAGACCTGGTTTAGACCTGGTTTAGACCTGGTTTAGACCTGGTTCTGTCTGAATTCGGTGTCGTTGTCGTTCGCTGTTAAAGGTCCCGGCGACACCAACTCAAAATCTGATTGGTTGAAGCAGCAGTTTCATGGACATTTATTTAGTGTTCGACTTCCTGCAGGACGGATTGTGAAGGACTCAGACTCTGTGACTCTGACTCAACAAGTGACGTCTGAAATGTGATTGGTCAGATGCTTTAATATAAAAACCCATGTGTGGAAGCAGCACAAGCATCAGAAAAACTCTGAAAGGAAGCGAACAGAACATTTGGAATTATTTAATAATAATATAATTAACATGAGTCTGTGATTCTGATTTTTTTTTAGGCCAGCAGAGAAGGACTTGCAGGCCCTGATGCCTCACCACTTGTAAAAAGCATGTTTGAGTCAGAGGTGGGACCGAGTCGTTGTTTTGCGAGTCATTGGTCTCTAGAGTTTGACCTCAAGTCCGAGTCAGATTAAAGTCTCACCAAGCCTCAGACAGACCATGCCTACAGTTAGCATTTAGACCACAATGGCAAAAGACCAAGAAACGCCATTTAAACTTCCATACATCCCCACATACTTTATTATTCTTACTACAGTATCACAGTATTACAGTGTTACAGTATCACAGTATTACAGTGTTACAGTATCACAGTATTACAGTGTTAAAGTATCACAGTATTACAGTATCACAGTATTACAGTGTTACAGTATCACAGTATTACAGTGTTAAAGTATCACAGTATTACAGTGTTACAGTATCACAGTATTACAGTGTTAAAGTATCACAGTATTACAGTGTTAAAGTATCACAGTAGTATCACAGTATTACAGTGTTTAACAGTATCACAGTATTACAGTGTTAAAGTATCACAGTATTACAGTGTTACAGTATCACAGTATTACAGTGTTAACAGTATTACAGTGTTACAGTATCACAGTATCACAGTATTACAGTGTTAAAGTATCACAGTATTACAGTGTTACAGTATCACAGTATTACAGTGTTAAAGTATCACAGTATTACAGTGTTACAGTATCACAGTATTACACTGTTACAGTATCACAGTATTACAGTGTTAAAGTATCACATTATTACAGTGTTAAAGTATCACAGTATTACAGTGTTACAGTATCACAGTATTACAGTGTTAAAGTATCACAGTATTACAGTGTTAAAGTATCACAGTATCACAGTATTACAGTGTTACAGTATCACAGTATTACAGTGTTAAAGTATCACAGTATCACATTACAGTATCACAGTTACAGTATTACAGTGTTACAGTATACAGTATCACAGTATTACACAGTGTTTACAGTATCACAGTATTACACTGTTACAGTATCACAGTATTACAGTGTTAAAGTATCACAGTATTACAGTATCACAGTATTACAGTGTTACAGTATCACAGTATTACAGTGTTAAAGTATCACAGTATTACACAGTGTTACAGTATCACAGTATTACACTGTTACAGTATCACAGTATTACAGTGTTAAAGTATCACAGTATTACAGTGTTACAGTATCACAGTATTACACTGTTACAGTATCACAGTATTACACTGTTACAGTATCACAGTATTAGGCCTGAAGAAGTGGACCCGCTCACTGTGGCATTAAAGGCAATTTAAAAAAAACTAAACAATAAATTATCAAATGTAAAATGGATAATACCAAAGCAATAACATCTTAAATGTCCAATATGAGGCAAGACAAGTTTATCTGTAAAGTGCACAGTTCACAGTTTGTACACAAAGTAATTCAAAGTGCTTTACAGAATAAGAAAATTCATAAAATTCAAAAAAGAGAGAGACATTAAATGAGAGAGAAGAGTGCAGAATGAAAACTTTTCAAAGAGTCAGAGCAGAGTCTGTCTCACATTTTCCAGGTTTTAACTTCATGAATCTGAAACTCTGACTCCCCGTGTTTAGTCCTGACTCTGGCACCAGCAGGAGGCCGGGACTAAACCAGGACTAAACCAGGACTAAACCAGGACTAAACCAAGTCTACGTTTATATGCTGAGGGTTTGAACAGAAGAAGCAAAAGTGGCGTCTCGTCTTCACTTTTTATTCCGCATTTAGAGGAAATCTGCGTCATACGGTGACGCAAAAGAGTGTGGAATTCGATTGGTTTGATTTCTGTGTCCTGTCTGTATGTGACGTAAACACGTACGGGACCTGAGCAGGTCTGACCAGAGTTTGGCGTCTTGGGCAGTGTCGACGGAAACACAACGGCGGAGCGTGTTCAGCTTTTCCACTCTGGAGGGTGGGTTCAGATGTTTGCATTTTTAAGCCCCAAAAACGCCGTCACCGACTAAACGAAAGACACTTCTGATCAAATATGTTATAGTTTTTACCCTGAAGAGTTCTCGTGTAAACAGACCCTAAACCAGGACTAAACCAGGACCACATCAGGACCAGGACCACATCAGGACTAAACCAGGACCACATCAGGACTAAATCAGGACTAAACCAGGACCACATCAGGACTAAACCAGGACCACATCAGGACTAAATCAGGACTAAACCAGGACCACATCAGGACTAAACCAGGACCACAAGGACTAAACCAGGACTAAACCAGGACCACATCAGGAAAAAACCAGGACTAAACCAGGACCACATCAGGACTAAACCAGGACACATCAGGACTAAACAGGACTCAGGAAAACCAGGACCACATCAGGACTAAACCAGGACCACATCAGGACTAAATCAGGACTAAACCAGGACCACATCAGGACTAAACCAGGACTACAGCAGGACTCAGGACTAAATCAGGACTAAACCAGGACCACATCAGGACTAAATCAGGACTAAACCAGGACTACAGCAGGACTAAACCAGGACCACATCAGGACTAAATCAGGACTAAACCAGGACCACATCAGGACTAAATCAGGACTAAACCAGGACCACATCAGGACTAAATCAGGACTAAATCAGGACTAAATCAGGACTAAACCAGGACCACATCAGGACTAAACCAGGACCACATCAGGACTAAACCAGGACTAAACCAGGACTAAATCAGGACTAAACCAGGACTAAACCAGGACCACATCAGGACTAAACCAGGACCACATCAGGACTAAATCAGGACTAAACCAGGACCACATCAGGACTAAACCAGGACCACATCAGGACTAAACCAGGACCACATCAGGACTAAACCAGGACCACATCTGGACTAAACCAGGACCACATCAGCACTAAACCAGGACTAAAGCAGGACTAAACCAGGACCACATCAGAACTAAACCAGGACCACATCAGGAGTAAACCAGGACCACATCAGCACTAAACCAGGACTAAACCAGGACCACATCAGGACTAAACCAGGACCACATCAGGACTAAATCAGGACTAAACCAGGACTACAGCAGGAATAAACCAGGACTAAATCAGGACTAAACCAGGACTAAACCAGGACTAAACCAGGACCACATCAGGACTAAACCAGGACCACATCAGGACTAAACCAGGACCACATCAGGACTAAATCAGGACTAAACCAGGACTAAATCAGGACTAAACCAGGACCACATCAGGACTAAACCGGGACCACATCAGGACTAAATCAGGACTAAACCAGGACCACATCAGGACTAAATCGGGGCTAAACCAGGACTACAGCAGGACTAAACCAGGACCACATCAGGACTAAATCAGGACTAAACCAGGACTACATCAGGACTAAACCAGGACCACATCAGGACTAAACCAGGACTAAACCAGGACCACATCAGGACTAAATCAGGACCACATCAGGACTAAACCAGGACCACATCAAGACTAAACCGGGACCACATCAGGACTAAATCAGGACTAAACCAGGACCACATCAGGACTAAATCAGGACTAAACCAGGACCACATCAGGACTAAATCAGGACTAAACCAGGACTACATAAGGACTAAACCAGGACCACATCAGGACTAAATCAGGACTACAATCAGGACTAAACCAGGACTACAGCAGGACTAAACCAGGACCACATCAGGACTAAACCAGGACCACATCAGGACTAAATCAGGACTAAACCAGGACTACAGCAGGACTAAACCAGGACCACATCAGGACTAAATCAGGACTAAACCAGGACTAAACCAGGACTAAATCAGGACTAAACCAGGACTAAACCAGGACTAAATCAGGACTAAACCAGGACTAAACCAGGACTAAACCAGGACTAAACCAGGACCATATCAGGACTACATCAGGACTAAACCAGGACCACATCAGGACTACATCAGGACTAAACCAGGACTAAACCAGGACTAAATCAGGACTAAACCAGGACTAAACCAGGACCACATCAGGACTAAACCAGGACTAAACCAGGACTAAAGCAGGACTAAACCAGGACTAAACCAGGACTAACTAAACTCAGGACTAAACCAGGACTAAACCAGGACTAAATCAGGACTAAATCAGGACTAAACCAGGACTAAACCAGGACTAAATCAGGACTAAACCAGGACTAAATCAGGACTAAACCAGGACTACATAAGGACTAAACCAAGACCACATCAGGACTAAACCAGGACCACATCAGGACTAAATCAGGGCTAAACCAGGACTAAATCAGGACTAAACCAGGACTAACACATCAGGACTAAATCAGGACTAAACCAGGACTCAACCAGAAGTGCAGATGTTTCATGTGGCACTAACATGTCACAGATGGACTTTGGTGCTGGACCCTGGAGACATTTGTTCACAAGCAGAGCCCCTTTAAAGTCTCTGAGCCACAGGGGGCAGTGCAGAGACCTGAGACCAGGACACATGTGCTCGGACTTCGTGGTTCGAGTCGGGACCCGAGCTGCGGCGTTCTGGATGTTCTGGATGTTCTGGATGTTCTGCAGCATCTCACAGCGTTTTGTGTTACAGTCACATGCTAAACTGTAGTTTCCTCATCAAAAACAGACCTGCAGTTGTGTTTTGTTTCATTCACACACGTTCAGGGCGGACTGGTACTCTGTGTGTTCTGGAAAAGTCCAGCAGAGGGCGCTATTACGACAATTTGCCCATTTGTCAAGAATACATTGCATAGGCCTAAAAGTCGAAAAAAGTTGCTCTTTGGTTTCAACACATTTCAAAGACGTTGAACAGAAAACATGAAGAGAAAGGAGGAAGGGAAAAGGTTAAAAACAAAAAACCCAAGTCACTTTGAAATGATTTAAGTGTTTTTGTTAATAAACAATCAGAAGTACTTCATCTTTGTGTGTTTTCTTCAGTTTTTTCATTATTGATTTCTTGAGATTATTCAGAGCTGTTTTTGATCCCAGTCCGTCCCTCACTTTATTACAGACATGTCAAACTCAGACATTATTTATTTAAAATGTTGTTCTTATTTTATATTCTGCTTGTTCTGGATTCAAAGTTTAAGCAAAACTATTATTAAACATTTATTTGAATAAGAAAAGGTTTAACATACAGATCTGGAAAGAAAAGAAACCATCCAGATGTTGTTGAAATTTTTCAATAAATATTTAGTTTGGCCCACGACTTAGTCACAGTTTTGAATTTTGGCCTCTGTCAACTCCTTTTTACCTTCAATTCCAGGTCTGAAATGATCCAAATGATTCTAGTGAAGGTGTATGGAGTTTAAAAACACAGTGGAGCACTTCCTGTATCACCACATGACCTAAATCTGCAGAGTTTGTTCAACATGTGTGAATGAAACAAAACACAACTCCAGATCTGTTTGTGATGAGGAAATAACATTAAAACATAGATCAGGAAATAGATGAACCCTTCAACAGAAAAGTTACATGGTGCGTCTTTAAATGTATATTTCTACACTTCCTGTGTCATTTCTATGGACTTTCTGGAGATGCTGTTTTCTCGCAGATGAATCTACTGAGACTTTCACAGTACTGATCAAACCAACACTTCTCCTCAAACCCAGAGCCCGTTTTCTTCCCGATCTGTCCACAGTCTTCTCCTTCTGGATAAAAAAATTCTCGATATCGAATTTTTCCAGTTGTCTGGTTGAATATTGTCCCCATATCTATACCAAAAAGACAAACTACATGGAAACACAAACAGAACAGTTGGAGTTACTGCTGGAGCTCGACCATGTGTGGATTTACAATACTGATTGTTTACAATACAAAGCAACAGACCGACAAATATTTTTTTCTGTAGCTTCATCTCACCTTGGGTCCAGAGCAGAACCATCGATCCACTTCCACTCTCCCTCAGTCTCAGAGTCTGTCAGTCCGATCCAGAACTTCTCTTCATCCTCTGACATCAGATGTCTCACTTTACCAAACAGGAACCTCTAAAACCACAAATCCACAGTTCGTCTCCACGGGCAGAGCAGAGAGTCACAAACATTTTTCTTCACTGGACCAGAATAGAGTCTTGTTTCCATGGGCACAGAATGGGGCGTTTCAGGGGTCTCAAGTGGACCACTGGAGGTATGACCGTCCAAACGGTTCTGGGACTTGAGACGCCTCGCAGGGGGCGGGGTTAGTCATTGGAGGACCAGCAGCACCTTCAGTGCAGGTGCTCACGCGTCACAACAAACGGCACAAACACGATCATGTTTAAAGAGACCGACATGTGTTACTTTACCAGTTTATCTTGATGACATGTTTCAGCTGCTGTCGTCAGTTTTAAAGATGATCTGCAGCTGAAACATGTCCTCACGGTAAACACACCTCCTACTGTACTGTCTTTAAAAAGGCCAAACTCACTGTGCCAGTGGAAACAAGACTTATGTGAAGATCTGAGGGACAAACATGAGATTCATGATGGGCCACAGAATAAAGAATAATAATGTGAGGAGAAGTGCTCCTCACCTGCTCCTCTCGGCTCTCGATCTTCACCAGGTCTCCAGAAGCATTTTGACATTGTCTTCTGCTTTGGCTCCATGATAACTTCAATGTGGAAAAATAATAACAGTTTGTTCCATTCAGCTCCCAGTCCACGTCACAGTGAAGTCTCAATGAACGTCTCGGAACTGGAAGAGACGATGTCAGATTAGTTTAAGGATGAAACGAGGAGCAGCAGGTCACACTGTGTTAACACAGAGTGTAGAAGTGTGAAGAATCCCTCAGTCGTTCAAGGTAGAATCCACAGCAAAAGAGAAATTGGAAATGGCCAAAAGTTCTGCTGCTTCTTCAGTTCTGGTCAGACGCTGGTGGACACTTCCTTATATCTGCCTGAAGGAGGAGCTAACTGCACTGAAACTACTCTGAAACTAACACTCTACTTGTTCACAGTTTCTGTTGTTTAGCTCGGCCTATTGAACTGCACTGAGTGTGGGCTCATATCAGCAGAATCATTCAGGATCATAATTAGAGCTTTCACACCTCTGGCCCTGATCTGGCTGCACCTGTTGTTCTCTTCTCTCTTCTCTTGTTCTCTCTCCTTAGGACCTCAGAGGAGCGTCCTGGAGCTTTTAGGTGGAGATGAACAGCAGACTGAGGTCCACTGTTGCTCTCTCGTCTGTGTTGGTCCATCTTCACAAGGAAGTGTCCACCAGCGTCTGAACTGAACTGAAGAAGCAGAGGGATTGAAACAAAATAAACGTTTGTCCAGTTGACAAATTTAATTTCTCCTTTTGACACAGAGTCTTTTGTCCCTCAGGTTTGTCTGCCCCCTCGGCTTTAGTCCTGGGGGGTTAAACTAACTGACCAGATACACACTGTGTCCCAAAACAGTTCATTTCTAGCTCATTGTGATGTTCCTAGAAATGCGCTCTATAAAACGGAACTATTATTATTATTCTCATATATAAAAAGTAGATTTTCTTATTAGGGCTGGGCAAAAATAAAAAATATTAACCGCATGAGTTCGGGTGTGATTAATAACGTTTAATACGCAAAACGAATTAATGAATTAAAAAGTAGAGTATAGCTGCACTTTTATTGGAAATGTAAATGAAAAAGCCAAACATTTGTTGTACAAACAGCTTTTCTTTCAGAGTTGAACCCTCAGAGTCTTCAAGGTTTTCTGAAGGCTCAAGAAAAAATATTGAATGCATTTTTTTTTTTTACTAATATATTTTTTCTATATTTTTTATTAAGTGAGTAATAAAGATGTAAATAAAAAACACTAGTAATAATTTCTAGATGATTGTTATAAACTTGAACTGGTATTTCTTTGGAAACAAAGGGTTAATATAAAGGAATGGAAATGGACCAATCACAGTTTTTCTTCCAGTGGTATCTGGGTAAATCAGTGACTCCCCCTGCAGCGCTGAACTAAACAAACACCTGCAGGAGCTTCGGTGGCTGGAACAAAGTTTGAGATTGACAGTTGTCTGAGCCAATCCTATTTCATTGAGTTATGGGCGGAATCATATCACCAAATCTTCTGGACCTTCGCGAATACTCTGTGATAGCGTTACGTAAGTGAGACCGCAGCAACGAAGACCACACTGGACACCTCAGACCCGTGAATCAGAGCCCGCGGTCTACAGAGGCTCGGACACGTTGCATCTCACGTGGTTAGAAAAAAGTGTAAAGAAAAGATGTCAAACTTAACATTAAATAAATAAATAAATAATAAAAACTGCGTTAAAATAATTGTCGGTGATAATGAATTAATTAGTTAACACAAAATTAACGCGTTAACGTGCCAGGCCCTAATTCTTAAATAAATAAAGTAGATAAAGTCAAAGTTCCAGACTCACAGGAAAGGACGACAACAGTGATGATCAGAGCCACAGACACGAGCACAGCCACAGTCAACACTGCCACCTTCACCCGTCTCCCAGAACAGACTCCTGCTCACACAACTCAAGTTTTACACCACACACCAGTGTTAAAAACAACATGACCAGACCAACACCAGACCCACATGTTCTCTTTAACACATACACGTTATAATGGATCTTTGAAAAGTAAAAATTTAGCCTATTTGAAAATCATGGAATATAAGGACCCGGTCAAACAGAAGTAAACAACAAGGCCAAAAATTCAAGTTAATTCATCTGATATAAAAATGTATTGAACAGATACATATGTACTCTAGTTTATGAAACTGTTGACCTTTTTTCTGTACCATTTTTGGTTCTAAAGTTCCATCCGTTTTAAACAGACCATGTATGAAACATGGAACAAAAATTATTTCCCAAATTTCACAGATCCTGCAAATCATGTAAATAAATGGATGTATTTCATCATATCTTGTGTTATTTAAGCTTTGAACTGTTGATGAAGGGACAGGATTAAAAAAAAAAAAAAAAAAAAGTATTTAAAATGATAAAAATGTTGCTTGGAAGGACTGACATTTTATAGAAATAGTTTCCTTTCATTTTGAAGTAATATTAAAGTATTCAGAAGAAAAAAGCGACAAATGATGTAAAATCCTGCACCTTCTACTTGTTTGTACAATTTTCCCTCCGTTACTTTTCCCTCCGTTACCATGAACTTTCTTAATAAAAAAATCTCATGAGTCAAAAAGTCAGAGGTTTTTCAACCTAATCTTGTACCATATGGTAGAAAACTATATGAAGCAAATATTCAAACCAGTTTGTTAAGGATATGTAAGTGAGAACCAAGAGTTATCACTGTTTGGATTTATTGAACCAAAAAAAGTGCTGCATATTTCATTCCCTCCGTTACCGACATGAGTTTTTTAAATTTTTTGTCAACAACTTGAAAGAATCTCACAGGTTTAACTTGACCCTGTTGGAGTGTAACTCTTTCCTACATTCTGATACTTTACTTATTTCAATAGTCCCTCTAGTTTCTGAATAAGAGACATTTCTGTTTTTAAACAAAATCTTAAAACGTACCTTTTTACTAAAGCCTTTTGTTAATTGTATTTTATTCTTGTTTTATCTTATTAATTCCTGCAATGGTTTTAGCTTGATCCACTGCTTGCTCATTGTTTTTACCGGTAGCACTTTGAGAGTATTTTATGTAACGTGCAATATAAATAAAATGTATTATTATTATTATTATTATTATTATTATTATTTGAATGTAAAAAATCTGCCCCTGTTTCCCTCCGTTACAGCTTGACCGGACCCATAAGTAAAATAATAAAATAGTAACTACAGAAACCACTGCAGATATTTTCACCAGTGCTCAATATGCATTAAAAACTCACCGTTGTGTCTCCGAGTTGGTGGCCCTGGGTAATTGGCATAAACAGTCTCTTTGTCTCCCCACATCTCTGCTGCTCTTAAAACCAACTGAACACAGACTGAGCGAGGTTCAGGATCAGACTTTTAAAAAATAATTCATAATCCAAAAACAACTTCCTCATTTAAGAAGACGTTGAGTCAGAGTTTGAGGAATCACAGAAGTGCATGTCTGTGCTCTCTGCAGTATCTGATATTAAAGGTGTATTGTGTAACATGTGGAGGAGGGTCTGCCAGCTGCCGGTCTCCATGGTGATACTGGAGTTTCTGGAATGGAAAGTGTTGATGCTAAAAACGGCACCAAACTTCCCCCACAACAATCTTTAGTCACTGGTTCACTGCAGGTTCCTTCGTAGGACAAAATTAGAAACCGCTGACCCTGGACTAACCCCGGACTAACACCAGACTGAACCAGATCTAACCCAGGACTAAACCAGGACTAAACCAAGACTAAACCAGGACTAAACCAGACCTAACCCAGGACTAAACCAGGACTAAACCAAGACTCCACCAGACCTAACCCATTAGTAAACCAGGCCTAATCCTGGACTAAACCAGGACTGAACCAGCTGTAACCCAGGATTAAACCAGGACTACACCAGGTTCCCAGAACTAAACCAGGACTACACCAGGTCCCCAGAACTAAACCAGGTCTAAACCAGGACTAAACCAGGATTAAACCAGGACTACACCAGGACTAAACCAGGTACCCAGAACTAAACCAGGACTAAACCAGGACTAAACCAGGATTAAACCAGGACTACACCAGGACTAAACCAGGTCCCCAAAACTAAACCAGGACTACACCAGGTCCCCAGAACTAAACCAGGACTACACCAGGTCTAAACCAGGACTAAACCAGGATTAAACCAGCACTACACCAGGTCCCAGAACTAAACCAGGACTACACCAGGTCCCAGAACTAAAGCAAGACTACACCAGGTCCCCAGAACTAAACCAGGACTACACCAGGACTAAACCAGGATTAAACCAGGACTACACCAGGACTAAACCAGGTCCCCAGAACTAAACCAGGACTACACCAGGTCCCCAGAACTAAACCAGGACTACACCAGGTCCCAGAACTAAACCAGGACTACACCAGGTCCCCAGAACTAAACCAAGACTACACCAGGTCCCCAGAACTAAACCAGGACTACACCAGGTCCCCAGAACTAAACCAAGACTACACCAGGTCCCCAGAACTAAACCAGGACTACACCAGGTCCCCAGAACTAAACCAGGACTACACCAGGTCCCCAGAACTAAACCAGGTCATTCCTTTATACATTTATACATTTATATCTACAGAAGTTTAGTCGATTGGGGTAAATGAAAAAAAAAAACCAAAAAAAAAAAAACAAAGGCAATTGATAGTTTTTATTTGAAGAAATCCACATCCAGGTAAAGTGTCAGATTTGTGTGTCTCCAAACAAACAGACACAGCAGAGACACGTCCAACTGACCAAACCTACATGAAAAACCAGTGTTACTCCCTCAAATATTTAAAGTAACATCATAAATATTTTTAGTTATCATTTCTAATATGTGAGTTAACAGAACTTCAGAGAGCCTTGTGTGATTAAGTGTGTGTGTATTATTCATGTTTAACTCCTGTTCCTAAAGTAGAATGAGGCAATCGGTTTCCTGACTTTTTATTAAAGAAGATTAAACAATATTATCAGGGTTTACAGGACATATATACATTTTTACAACATATAATAGTAACAAAGTTCATCCAGTTACCACAAACAACTGATCTGAACAAACAGGAAACCACCGAAACTTCCACCCACAGACTCTGGCCAAACGAGCTCTAAAAGTGCCAAAGTGGGCAGTGACTAAGATGTAAATGAACATAGTTTGAAGTACAATGGTAAAGAATCCAATAAATACATGATATTGTACTTTTACTTGTAAAAAACACATACAATTTTTACTCCCACTTTAAAGTTATTATTTAATGTACTTTCTATTTCCACAGTTTATAGATGGTGTTCCTCTCACATTTTTTGTCAAACCAACATTTCTTTTCCTTCACGATCATGGCCTGTGCAATAGGCGAGTTTCATTGTTGACAAAAACCACGCGTTGCATGTTGGGAATTATTTTGGTCGGCGGCAAGAAACACTAATTCAACATGATGGACGGAACGAGAAAGCACGTAAAGGGTATTGATCCCGGTTATTTATCCAGTATAACGGCAGAGGACCCAAGACCTTTTGACCAGAAATTGGTCATAAACATCGACGGACGACAAATCACCCTTTTCAACCCCGACAGAACCTGGACCAAACCAAATTTCTGGTCAGAATCACCAACTACCTGGACAAATATTCACTTGGGCGATATCCACAATGACTTGGTGGAAACTCCTGGGCCATTCACAGCAGAAAAGATGAAAACCTCCAAGAGTCTCGATGTGTTGTTGAACTTGTTGGAGTCCACGGTTTGTTAGGATCTTCTACGTTTGCTCTGTGGATGTTTGAAAGTCGTTTAATTCACCGTTAGTGGTTCTTTTCACTCAGAATACGAAAAAGACATTTTCCTTCTTCCGTGCTTCTATTTGTGCATCCGAAAATGTAGCAGGAATTTACCATTATCGGGGATAAATACACGAGGTTATGCACTGTGTTTGACGCTACCGTGTTTCTTGCCTCCGACCAAAATATTTCCCAGCAGCAACGCGGGCTTTTAATAACAATGACGTCAGCTCAAACTCGCTTATTGTCCAGTTCAGATTTGGTATTTTTTTCATTCTTAAACCAAAACATTAAACTAAACCCATCAGGCTTATTCAGGGGCTCTTTTCTTCGCACCATGATCAGTCCATACTGTGTACAGAGAAGAGCATGACCGCAGATGTTCACTAGAAACACTAACGCTAACCCTAAGCCTGCTTTTTTTTTTTTTTTTTTTTTTTTTTTGGAAAGAGCTAAATTCGAAAAAAACAAAAACAAAGTAATAATACCTTTTATATGTTTCACTTTTGTTTTTGACACTCTGAGTCAGAAGTAGAGGTAAGATCTTAAGACCGAGCCCAAGCCCGACCCGACCCGGGGTCGGGCCTAAAATGTCAATCATTACTTCGGGTCGGGTCGGGCTCGGGCTTCAAATAAATATATGTTTATAAAATGTATGCTAAAACGATGTGTGGATACTAAACTAAGGAATACTTGTTATAAAATAAATAATATGGATAAAACAGAGAAGTAATGTAATGTAATTGCTATTTAACTACTAAACAGGATCCGCAGAGCCAGAGCTCTGCGCACGTGAACGCCTCCTCTTCATTTAATAATCTTCCCCTCCGCAAGTCTGCATCTATTTTGACCTGGTGTCCCCAATATGGAGGAGCAAGAAGTTAAACTAAAGGCAGGAGAACTGAAAAGACAAACACGCACCGGTAAGAGTGAGGTGTGGAAAAGCTTCAAATTGATTGCTGAAAATGCTACAGAAACTTGCGTTGGCTTCGCTGAATGTCGTCAATGTGGCGCTTTGCTTTCATACGAGAGCAAAAAGACTGGCACCTCGACGCTGAGCACTGCTCCTCCTCCCGAGTCACAAATAAAATATGACATTTCGGGTTTGCTTCGGGCTCGGGCCTGCAAATCAAGTTAATTGGTCGGGCTCGGGCCGGGTCGGGTTTTAATACCCGCGGGCCGGGTCGGGTCGGGCTGGATTTTTTAGGCCCGATCTCACCTCTAGTCAGAAGTCACTTCTCCTTCAGAGCTCAACCACAACACAATCAGTCACTGTTGCTATAACTTTTAGTCATGTAAGTTGTTTACTCATACTTGGTTTTGGTTTTTCATCGTCCATTAACATTTGGTTGCCTGTGTTGCTTTTGATTCCTGAGCACTAGAAGTAGCTTTTGTGAAGATATTTATGTCCAGTTGTGTCCACTTGTTACTTCGACGAGGGAGAGATCTTGGTTAAAGGTTGTATCGAGGATTTTCCAAGGAACAAGAAATCCAGCGACTGTTTGTCCTTTTTCAAATGTTGCTCCTACGTGAAACCACCCCCCCCCCCTACAGCTCCTACGTAGAAACGCCTCCTCCCTCCTCCTCCTTACGCCAGAAACAGGTTTGTTTCTAGAAAACAAGTCCTCATCGCTGCACATGACTTGTAAACAACTAACTAGAGAGGGGTGTGTGAAGATTCAGTGCGAATGAAGCTACTACTACAACACGCAGCAGCAAGCGGACTCTTTCTTTGCATTGAAAATTACGTTTTCAGACATAGGATATCGCATTCGTGTCCTGAAAAACGTTTGTCTAACTCTTGTAAATAAAGTACGTTTTCATAATAAGCAGAAGTTTCCTGTCCAGGAGTAATTTGTGGACCAGTGGTTCAGTCTTTAGACCCTTCGTCTGCTTCAGTCGCACCATCGCTGGAATGAATCTTCAAGAATCACCTTAGTTTGGCTTCGCTGCTTTTCCCCTTGTCTTCTTCTTTCAGCGACCTCAAAAACTGACTTTCTTTTGCGGCGAACTGCTCCTGGATTCTTGTCGTCATTGCAACAAACTTTGTGCGAACTGCGAGGAAGATATAGGTCAAAAAAGCCGCTAAGAACTGTTGCATTGGTGGAGTAAACAGCGTCTGTGCGTCTTGCGTCTGCGTCTTGCGTCTGTGGACTGCGTGACAGTCGTACGTAAACCACGTACCGGCGGCGCAGGCAAGTCAGTTACACTAGAAACGTAGGGAGTTTGATTGACAGCCTGTCAGCTCACAGATAACGAGGCAGTGTCGTTATCTATTGGCAAATGTTTAGCCCCACCACGTCCAGAGTTGATGAATTTTTATTCTCCTTTTTTTGGTCATCATAATTACAAGGCTCCTGCATCTATAATCTATCACTGACAATTTGAAACAAAAAAAATCCTCCATACAACCTTTAAGTTGAGTCGCCGCTTGGCTCAACTTGTGAATTTGTGAGTAGTCTGTCACTTTGGTTAGATGTGCATCTTTCTTTGTTGTGGGGGACCAGATTTATCAGGATGGTTCTTGTGCTGCATGTTTTTTTCTGGCCCCACCTTGTGACTATTTTTAGCATCACTTAAGCTCTAGAAGTTTGTAAAGTTTTGCTTTTTCTCTTAACCCATTGACGCCTGCTGCGCAACGCAGCGCTGAGTCTCCTGTCGGTGTTCTGGACTGTCTGGCGATCAGCGTAACTGGTAAAGGTGGAGCCACATCTGGAAGCATGGGGGGCGTGTCCTCCTCTCGCTTCATTCACTCCCATAGAGAGACACAAAACTGCTGGAGCTGTACTGTCGCGTTAAACCTTCTTTATCGTGGCGTATTATTTCTCCTTTGAAAAATAATCCAAATGTATCCCGCACATGTTCCCATCAAGACCTGGCGTTTGAAGTAACAAACGTTGCTCTTTACTGCAGCGCATGAACGCAGCTCAACCACTTGATCTGCTCGCTGTTCCAGACGCTCCTATAACAGGTGCCATATCACTATGTCGTGTAATAAATAAACACTGTCAAGCACAAAAATGCTGACAATGACAGTAAAGACATGGACAACATTTTGGTCTGCCACCTGCCGGTCTCCATGGTGATACTGGTGTTTCTGGAATGTTCCTGCAGTACGGCATCAAAGTGTTATTGCTAAAAATGGTACCGAACTTCCCTCACAACAATCTTTAGTCACTGGTTCATTGCAGTTCCTTTATAGGACAAAATTAAAGAAGAAGGAAAACTTTGAGGATCTCCTCAATCCCACCATCACGAGAGGCTGGGGACTCGGAGGTGGATCATCCTGGCTGAAGTCACTGAGGTGGTTAAAGCTCCTTGGTGGCTCTGGGGTGGATGAGATCCATCCTGAGTATCTCTCGGATGTTGTGGGTCTTGGCTGACACGCCTCTTCAACATCGCGTGGCGGTCGGGGACAGTACTTCTGGACTGGCAAACCGGGGTGGTGGTCCCTCTGTATAAAAGGGGGACCGGAGGGTGTGTTCCAACTACAGGGGAATCACACTACTCTCAGCCTCCCCGGTCTATGCCAGGGACTAGAGAGGAGAATCTGGCTGATAGTTCAACCTCAGATCCAGGAGGAGCAGTGTAGATTTTGTCCTGGTCATGGAACACTGGACCAGCTCTACACTCTCCATCAGGTGCTCGAGGTTCATGGGAGTTTGCCCAACCAGTCCACATGTGCTTTGTGGATCTGGAGGTGTGTGACCGTGTCCCTCGTGGTGTCCTGTGGGGGGTGCTCTGGGAGTCTGGGGTTCAGGGCTCTTTGCTAAGGTCTGTCCGGTCCCTGTATGACCGGAGCAGGAGCTGTGTTCATTGTCAGTAAGTCAGAAATGTTCCTGGTGCATGTTGGACTCCGGCAGGGCCGCCCCTGTCACCGGTTCTGTTCATTGTTTTTATGGACAGAGTTTCTAGGCGCAGTCAGGGGCCAGAGGGGGTCCGGTTTGGGGACACAGGATCATCTCTGCTGTTTGCAGATGATGTTGTCCTGTTGGTTTCATTAGACCAGGACCTGCAGCTCTGGGGCGGCTTTTAAACAAAGTATTAATATGTTTTATATGTTTCACTTTTAATGTAGTTTCTTGAGGAGATTAGAAATGCTCAAACTTGCACAAAAGGAAACAGCTGCAACATGGGAGGATGAACTTGAATTTGTTGATTTTCAGAAAATCCTTCCCATTATGAATTGCACAATGACCAGAAGTCTGAAATTCGCGATGCATGTATTGTCCAGTTCAGATTTGGTATTTTTTTCATCCTTAAACCAAAACATTAAACTAAACTAATCAGGCATATTCAGGGGTTCTTTTCATTGCACAGTGATGGGTCCAGACTCTGTACAGAGAGGAGCATGACCGCAGATGTTCACAGAAGCACATTTACTGAACTGAAATGTAAAAAGAAAACATTTGCAGTGTGAGTGGCAGTAGAAACTGTATCTTCCAGCGCACATATAAACATGTCACTCGTGGTAGGACCCATGTTTTCTTCATTGTCTTGCTTATCCACATCTATGTCTTCTAGAATTAAATGCTTTTTGTGAGTGGATCTTTCTAACGTTCGCGGGGATCTTTTCATGGCCGATTCTTTCGAGGTTCCCAGTGTGGGTTCGTTGAATCGTAAACTAGTGCGGGTTTTCCTGGATAAATTAATGACATTTTAGTTCAGTAAATGTGCTTCTTTCCTTAAATAAGCTATGAAATAATTTAAATAGCAAATATGTAACTACCCTGGTTTTCTTAGCGAGGAAGGAGTTCACGCTTCATACTGATGATTGTGTGTCGGTATTTATTTTCAGCACTCTTCATTAACACACCAATACACCATGAAAACTAAAACAAAACAGACAAAAAATAACTTAACTTTTCATAAACACCCTTAAATAAATATACAATAGAAACTATATTTACCGTGTTCGCCTTTACGTTACCAGCAGTAGTAAAACAGCATATTTTTATCTTGATGTCCCTTTTCTTTACACCTCTCTCTGTTTTCTCTCTTTTGTCCCCTTCTCTCTTTTTCGCGCTACTATTTTTTCTCTTTCTACTTCGGGGGTAAGGCAAAGGTCACACAACTAAAAAAGGCAAATATATTCACAAATAAAATACAAAAACAATAACTGCAATATTATGACCCCTCTCAATACTTGAACAAATAAAATAATAACCTTTTCACTTATTACTATAAAAACAAAATATACTGACATTATCGTAAGTTACAAAATACCTTGATGAAACTTTGGGTGTCTTGATGGTACCATTGGAAATCTCTTTGCGGTTTATTTTTGCTGCTATAATCCGTGTCTTTTTTTCGATAATTCCCTTGTTTCATCCTGATGCGTCATTTCCAGAGAAACAGTGAAGAAACGATTAATTTTATCCCTTTCAGAGCATCTAGAACAACCAAATACACAACAAAACCTGCCCATGTTTCTCCGACGCTGCTGAAGTCAATGACATAGTGTTGCCCAGTGTCATGGCAGCGTAGGTACCGTTGCTATAGGGTCACGTGACGGTGCAAAGCCTCTATTGGGGTCCATAAACATTCCTTAACGTAATTTTAGGAAATAACAGACTTCTTCTCCTATTCCTTACATGAAGCTTGTTTGTTATTCAACTAACATAAAAAACATGCCATCAATATTATATAACACAAAATGGATTCTTGCTACTTTTAAGTCACGTTAGAATGTAATTTCCTCGTCAAAAACAGACCTGGAGTTGCGTTTTGTTTCATTCACACATGTTCAGGGGCGAACTGGCAATCTGTGTGTTCTGGGAAAGTCCAGAACGGCCGTCCGACCTACTGGTCATCGGCCGTATAAGGCGAGGCAAGTTTATTTGTACAGCACAATTCATACACAAAGTAAATCTTCAAAAATAAGCTTTGCCACATTTGTTTACATTTTACAGAAATGAAACTTAAGACCGCTTGGCTATTCATAAACTGTTAGCGGTGATAAAAACAGCTCGCTCCTTGTGCCGCTAAATGACACGACTCTGTGGATTATGTGTGTTCTTTTTGTGACAGAAAAGGCGCTAATGATGGTGAGTGTGTTCTGTGCGTGTACAGTATAGGAGATAGTTCATGTTTTAGCTTTTCAGCGTCACACGAGTGCAGATTGTACGTGTGCAGGTTTAGCGCAGCTCTTTATTTTACAGTCATTTCACTCGTTTGGTCACTTTATTTATGTTGGTCAATTTATTTATGTCACTACTGTTGCGGTGAAAAGACTGGAAAGTGTTTGTCTTTTGGACACATGCGACTCAACTTTATGTTGCAGTAACCGGGATACTGTGTTTACATGCCACAGTGTCCCGGTTACTATCGGAATAAACCAGCTACAAGGCAAGGCAAGTTTATTTGTATAGCACAATTCGTACACAAAGTAATTCAAAGTGCTTTACAGAATAAGAAATACATTAAAATCATAATATTAAAATTAAAAAAGACATAAATTGGAGAGAAAAGTGCGGAATGAAAACCTTTCAGTTATTTGCACAGTTAAACAGAAATGTTTTGAGCCTGGATTTAAACAGCGTCACAGAAGAGTCTGTCTCACATGTTCAGACTGTTCCAGGTTTTAGCTGCATGAACCTGAAACGCTGACTCCCCTACAGTGTTCCGATTTGTAATAAACGGGATACTGCCATAACCGGGTTACTGAAACCAGGTTACTGTGTTTACATGCACCATCAAGAAACTGGGATACTCAAAAAACCCGATCATAACCGGGTTATTGATGTGCATGTAAACGCACTCAATCAGAAGTAGTTCATCTTTGTGTGTTTTCTTTAATTATTTCATTTTTGATGTATTGAGATTAATTTTAAATGCACATCTTTTAATTCCTTTATTATTAATCTGTCTACATTCAAAATGCTCTGTTCTACCTTGTGATGTCATGAGTGATAGTTTTCAGCTCCTTTTTACCTTTTAATTCCAGGTCTGAAATACTTTCTGTATCACAACATGACCTAAATATCCAGGGTTTGTGTGAATGAAAAAAAAAACACAACTCCAGATCTGTTTGTGATGAGGAAATGACTTTATAATATAGATCAGGAAATAGCATCAACAGAAAAGTTACATGGTGCGTCTTTAAAGATATATTTGTATACTTCCTGTGTCATTTCTATGGACTTTCTGGAGATGCTGTTTTCTCGCAGATGAATCTGTTGGATGTTCCACAGTGCTGATCAAACCAACAATTCTCCTCAAACTCAATGTCTGCTTTCTTCCCGATCCGTCCACAGTCTTCTCCATCTGGATAAAACAATTTCGATATCGAATAGTTCCAGTCGTCTGGCTGAATATTGTTCCCATGTTTATGCCAAAAAGACAAACTACATGGAAACACAAACAGAACAGTTGGAGTTACTGCTGGAGCTCGACCATGTGTGGATTTACAATACTGATTGTTTACAATACAAAGCAACAGACCGACAAATATTTTTTTCTGTAGCTTCATCTCACCTTGGGTCCAGAGCAGAACCATCGACCCACTTCCACTCTCCCTCAGTCTCAGAGTCTGTCAGTCCGATCCAGAACTTCTCTTCATCCTCTGACATCAGATGTCTCACTTTACCAAACAGGAACCTCTAAAACCACAAATCCACAGTTCGTCTCCACGGGCAGAGCAGAGAGTCACAAACATTTTTCTTCACTGGACCAGAATAGAGTCTTGTTTCCATGGACACAGAATGGGGCGTTTCAGGGGTCTCAAGTGGACCACTGGAGGTATGACCGTCCAAACGGTTCTGGGACTTGAGACGCCTCGCAGGGGGCGGGGTTAGTCATTGGAGGACCAGCAGCACCTTCAGTGCAGGTGCTCACGCGTCACAACAAACGGCACAAACGATCATGTTTAAAGAGACCGACATGTGTTACTTTACCAGTTTATCTTGAGGACATGTTTCAGCTGCTGTCGTCAGTTTTAAAGATGATCTGCAGCTGAAACATGTCCTCACGGTAAACACACCTCCTACTGTACTGTCTTTAAAAAGGCCAAACTCACTGTGCCAGTGGAAACAAGACTTATGTGAAGATCTGAGGGACAAACATGAGATTCATGATGGGCCACAGAATAAAGAATAATAATGTGAGGAGAAGTGCTCCTCACCTGCTCCTCTCGGCTCTCGATCTTCACCAGGTCTCCAGAAGCTTTTTGACATTGCCATCTGCTTTGGCTCCATGATAACTTCAGTGTGGAAAAATAATAACAGTTGGGTCCATTCAGCTCCCAGCCCAAGTCACAGTGAAGTCTCAATGAACGTCTCGGAACTGGAAGAGACGATGTCAGATTAGTTTAATGATGAAACGAGGAGCAGCAGGTCACACTGTGTTAACACAGAGTGTAGAACAGCACAGAGCACATCGTGTTGTTCCTCCATGAAGTTATTGTTGCATTTATTAATGTGTGTGTGAGTGATGGTGGTCAGAGGGGTTGATGGCCTCACTTCAGTATGTCTGCCCCAGGGCAGCTGTTCAATCATAGCTTCTACCACTGCTGAGTGTGGAGTGAATGAATCATGCTCTGTAAAGCGTCTTTGAGTGTCCAGAAACGTGCTATATAAAACAGATCCATTATAATTATTCTTAAATAAATAAAGTAGATAAAGTCAAAGTTCCAGACTCACAGAAAAGGACGGCAACAGTGATGATCAGAGCCACAGACACGAGCACAGCCACAGTCAACACTGCCACCTTCACCCGTCTCCCAGAACAGACTCCTGCTCACACAACTCAAGTTTTACACCACACACCAGTGTTAAAAACAACATGACCAGACCAACACCAGACCCACATGTTCTCTTTAACACATACACGTTATAGTGCATCTTTGAAAAAGTAAAACATTTTGCCTATTTGAAATACTTATATAAGTAAATACTTATAAGTAAAATAATAAAATAGTAACTACAGAAACCACAGCAGATATTTTCACCGATGCTCAATATGCATTAAAAACTCACCGTTGTGTCTCCAAGTTGGGGAACCTGGGTAATTGACAAAATAAATACATATTAAAACTAATTAGAAAAAATAAAAAAATAAATATTTATTAAAACTAATTTAAAAAATAATAAAAAAAATTAAATAGGTATTAAAGACTCACTATTGTCACTCCGAGTTGGTGGCCCAGAGTAATTGTCAAAATCAAGCTCTTTGTCTCCCAACATCTCTGCCACTCTTCAAACCAACTGAACAAAGACTGTAAATCTGTTCCATATTTGTACATGTGGCACCAAAAACAACTTCCTCATTTTAACACGTTGCGTCAGAGTTTGAGGAATCACAGAAGTGTATTTCTGTGCTCTCTGCAGCACCAGATATTAAAGGTGTATTGTGTGACATGTGGAGGAGGGTCTGCCACCTGCTGGTCTCTATGGTGATACTGGTGTTTCTGGAATGTTCCTGCAGTACGGCATCAAAGTGTTATTGCTAAAAACGTCACCAAACTTCCCTCACAACAATCTTTAGTCACTGGTTCATTGCAGTTCCTTCGAAGGACAAAATTATCAGAACGAACGGACATTGAAAGGAAAACTTTGAGGATCTCCTCAATCCCACCGTCACGTCTTCCTAGAAGGAAGCTGAGGCTGGGGACTCGGAGGTGGACTCGTTCATCATCCTGGCTGAAGTCACTGAGGTGGTTAAAGCTCCTTGGTGGCTCTGGGGTGGATGAGATCCATCCTGAGTATCTCTGGATGTTGTGAGTCTTGGCTGACATGTCTCTTCAACATCGCGTGGCGGTCGGGGACAGTACCTCTGGACTGGCAGACCGGGATGTTAGTCCCTCTGTATAAGAAGGGGGACTGGAGTGTGTGTTCCAACTACAGGGGAATCACACTCCTCAGCCTCCCCGGTCTATGCCAGGGACTAGAGAGGAGAATCCGGCTGATAGTTGAACCTCGGATTCAGGAGGAGCAGTGTGGTTTTGGTCCTGGCCGTGGAAGGCCAGGACCAAGGCTCGAGGTTCATGGGAGTTTGCCCAACCAGTCCACATGTGCTTTGTGGATCTGGAGAAGGCGTTCGACCGTGTCCCTCGTGGTGTCCTGTGGGGGGTGCTCTGGGAGTCTGGGGTTCAGGGCTCTTTGCTAAGGTCTGTCCGGTCCCTGTATGACCGGAGCAGGAGCTGTGTTCATTGTCAGTAAGTCAGAAATGTTCCTGGTGCATGTTGGACTCCGGCAGGGCCGCCCCTGTCACCGGTTCTGTTCATTGTTTTTATGAACAGAGTTTCTAGGCGCAGTCGGGGGCCAGAGGGCGTCCAGTTTGGGGACACAGGATCATCTCTGCTGTTTGCAGATGATGTTGTCCTGTTTGCTTCATCAGACCAGGACCTGCAGCTCTGGGGCGGTTTGTAAACAAAGTATTAAAATGTTTTATATGTTTCACTTTTAATGTAGTTTCTTGAGGAGATTAGAAATGCTCAAACTTGCACAAAAGGAAACAGCTGCAACATGGGAGGATGAACTTGAATTTGTTGATTTTCAGAAATTTCCATTATGAATTATGAGGAACTTTTTGATTTTGCGGAATTAGTCAAATTTAATAATAGAAATAGATCCAGTGACTTCCTGCTCAAAACTACAGCACTGACTAAAGCCATTACAAAAACCGGACTGAGGACTATTTCAATCAAACTTTAGTTAAATCCAGTTGAGAGAAAAGCACAAACATCTTCTCTGTCCACAAATGCACAAAGCTCTGATCTTCTGCATGTTTTTCTCAAACTAAAAAGTCCTGCTGTATTGACGCTAAAATAGTTTGAGGTGCGTCTGTCGGCGTCTCCATGTTTGTTTTGGTTTGTTTGGGAGCTTCACCTTTGACCTCTGCTCAAACCTCAGTGCTGCAACGTGATTGATCAAACATCCAATAATCTGTAAACTGATGAAGCTGTCACGTCGTTGGGGGTGTTTAAAGATGCTGAAGGACTGACCTGGATCGATTTGGGTTTTTTTGCATCCTTACTGTGACCAGGCTTGCATCTCCACAAACCTGACTCTTATTTGGTCCTGCTTGTTTCCATGGAAATGTTTCAAATTGTACCAATGGCTCCACAATATGGTATAAAACTTATATTTAACAAATGTCATTCCCTAAACCGCTGCCATTTGATTCCTCAGACTTTGATGGGAGGCAGAACTTTAATATTTGATCAGAATCTGGGGAAAGGGAAGATGGTCATGTTGCATTATTGCTTTACAGATCATTATTCAGTCACTCCAGACCCGGTGGTGGTAAAATACTATTGTAGCCACAGCTGCCCTGGGACAGACTGACGAACACTTTCATATTAGGCAATGAGGGCGAAGTGTCTTGCCTAAGTACACAACGACTTTTTACGACTGGTGCCTCCTGTGGCTCCATCCAAGTCCAGACCCAAACCCAGACCAGACCCAGACCAGACCTCACAGACGGGATCACACTTTGACAAACCAGTGTGGCCTTTAAAAATATATATTATTTACTTATTTTTTCTTTCTGTGACATCTGATTTATGTAATTACAAATAAATAAATTAATTAAATAATGAGTGTGCTGTTTTATTTATTTGTTTATTTATTTATTTTGCACATATAACATGACAATAAAAAGAAACACACTAGATAAAAAGTCGGTGCAAGAAGGAGGCAAAAAACCCAATCGGGCGAAATATTAAAGCCTCCACCTTATGAATACATAAAAATTTTTACATTGCATAAAAAAATGTAATATATGTATATATATATATATATATATATATATATATATATATATATATATATATATATATATATATATATAAATGACATTTAAACACCATGGATTAAATTCTTTTGATTCAAACATAGATTAAAACACAATGAAACATCCACAATTGAAAGATGATCAAACATTAGCACGAAATATCAAACATTTCCTCAAACTATTTTTAAACAACGCCTCTGATCTGCGTCACTGACCAGATGTGAATTTGACGAGTTTTGTATGTGTGAATCTCTGCATTGGTTTTAAAATAAAATGTGAAATGTTCGGGGATCGTTGTTGAATTATAAAGAATTTTATACATAAAAATACAAATTTGATAAATATTAATCCCATAAATATTAAAAATGTTAAGTTTGGTAAATAAATGAGCAGATGATGTTAGTGGCAAAGAATGAGTTGCAATTCGAACAAAACACTTTTGCACCAATAATTTTGTTCAGAGTTGTAGAGAAAGTGTAGGCGAGTTTCAGCTGACGTCATTGTTATTAAAAGCCCGCGTTGCTGCTGGGAAATATTTTGGTCAGAGGCAAGAAACACAGTAGCGTCAAACACAGTGCGTAACCTCGTGTATTTATCCCTGATAATGGTAAATTCCTGCTGCATTATCGGATGCACAAATAGGAACACGGAAGAAGGAAAATGTCTTTTTCATATTCCGAGTGAAAAGAACCGCTAACGGTGAATTAAACGACTTTCAAACATCCGCAGAGCAAACGTAGAAGATCCTAACAAACCGTGGACTCCAACAAGTTCAACAACACATCCAGACTCTTGGAGGTTTTCATCTTTTCTGCTGTGAATGGCCCAGGAGTTTCCACCAAGTCATTGTGGATATCAAGACACAACAGATTCCAGACACTCCAAAAGAGTAGAAAAAGTTAACACATCGCACGAGGAAAAATATAATTAAAAGGCCTTTATTTGAATGGCCAAAGCCAACATGTTTCGACCTTAAGTGGTCTTCATCAGGGCTTAATTAAAAACAAAGCCTGGGTGTGGCCTTCAAGTAGAACACATCAACCAATAGCAAGACTGGAGTAAATTGGAGGCAGACAAAACAGGTGCACAAAGACAGGACATGGTACAGACAAAAAAAAACAACAAAAACAAAAACATCATAACCATAATGTTTCCATTATTACTGTTACCAATAATTTATTAATAATAAAATTAATAATAATTTATTAATATTTATAGTTTGTATCATATATATATATATATATATATATATATAGTGTTATTTTTATCATTTAATATTTAATATTTTTTATTATTATTGCCATCATTATCAATAATAACTATAATTTTATTATTATAGTGCCGCTGCAGGTTCATCATCCTCCTCATCAAGCTGCTGTTCGAGGTGGACCTGACCCAGGGGCCAGACCCAGGGGCCAGACCCAGGGGCCAGACCCAGGGGCCAGACCCAGGGGCCAGACCCAGGGTCACTTGTGCGGGTGTGTCTCTGCGTTTGACCCATTTGTCTACAAGTACAACATGATTAATAACAACAACAACAAACAAGTGAACCACGTGATTATGTAAAACAGTTGGGGCAGGACTCCATTAGTTTTATAAACTTCATCCTCCTCCTTTTGAGCACCAGGTCCCAAATATGTTCATGTACATATCACTGTTTTGGTTATTGTTTTTGAATTTTGTTGTACCTGACTCAAACAAATGAATTAATTCATTAATAAGTGTTGGGAAGGTGACTTTTAAAATGTAATCCCCTAAAGATTACAGATTACACACACCAAAATGTAGTTTGTAACAGAATCCATTAAATTACTTAAAGTGAGTAATGTAATCTGAATACTTTGGATTACTTGATTTGCTGTAGAGAAACAAAGACGAGGAAATCTTCACATAAGAAGTTTTGTGATTAATAACAAGGTCACAGGCAAATAAAACCTGGATCAATCACAATAATAATCTTTGAAAATAAATAATAGTGAATGCTCCAATTACTACAAGAAGAGAATATTTTAGTTTTAAAGTGCTCTTATGTTATTTCCTACAGACCTGGAGTTGTGTTTTGTTTCATTCACACACGTTTAACACACAAACCCTGCAGATCTGGGTTTCCCTCAAACCAAAAACACACCGTTCCACTTTGTGATGTCACGTGGTGACACTCGAGTGCTTCACTGTGTTTTTAAACTCCATGAATCTCCACTAGAATCAGCCTGGTTCATTTCTGCCCTGGAATTCTTTTTCTGTGTAGACTCTGTTCACCTGACAGGGCGACAGGTGCGTCAAGAAAACTCAACGCTTCGGTTCGATTCAGTTCAAACAAAACGTGTATCAATAAAAGAAAAAACAGGAGTGCGTGAGTTTTCTTGAATCTCAAAACAAAAGGAGCTGTTAACTTGTAAACTCCTGCTTTGTGACGTCATGATTTCCAACCAGAAGTAAAATTTTAAACCTAAAAAAAGTCCAAAGTGTGAAGAGAATTATGCAATTTTTAACTAAATCTTAAACATCATGAACCTCAGAGAGTTTTATTAAAATGACCCTGTAAGCTTTTAGTTTTCCTCGTGTTGTTGACTCGTTTTGTCCTTGTCCCAGGCGCTGGTCCAAGTGTCTCACCTGATGTCCACGGGGCAGTTCCACAGACTCAAGGGGCTCGTCTCTGATGAGGTAAAGTGTTAATACTGTCTTATATATATATAAGTTATTATACTACAGGCTAAAGATGGGCATTCGATAACATTTTCTTAATCGATTTTCGGGAGAATTAATGACTGATTTTCAATCCAGTCCACTTTATTTCTGTCGCTCATTTCACAAACAAAGAGTTTCCGAAGTGCTGCACAAACACATAATAACTACAATAAAATGATAAAATAAACTACAAAAATAATACAATTAAAATTAAATAGGTATTAAAGACCCACTATTGTGTCTCCAAGTTGGTGGCCCAGAGTAATTGTCATAATCAAGTTCTTTGTCTCCATCTCTGCTGCTCTTAAAACCAACTGAACAAAGACTGTAAATCTGTTCCATATTTGTACATGTGGCGCCAAAAACAACTTCCTCATTTTAAGATCACATTGAGTCAGAGTTTGTGGAATTAGTCCGGTTCCTTATTGTAATTTAATTTTTTGACCTTATTGGGAAGTTTTGGGGGATTTGCTAACCTATATATTTTTGGAAAGGTTATAGTAAATGGAGTCAGAAAATCAATGTTTGCATTTGCCCACATGTCTTTATGGCGGCCATATTGGATTTTTTAAAAAATGGCCGCCAAAAAACCCTTTTTGGAATATCTCAGCCTCTGAATAAGTTGAAATGTTGATTTTAACAGCTAAACCCACATTTTCATCCATCCATCCATCCATTTTCGTCCGCTTATCCGGGGCCGGGTCGCGGGGGGAGCAGCCTAAGCAGGGACTCCCAGACTTCCTTCACCCCAGACACGTCCTCCAGCTCCTCCGGGGGGACCCCGAGGTGTTCCCAGGCCAGCCGAGAGACATAGTCCCTCCAGCGTGTCCTGGGTCTTCCCCGGGGCCTCCTCCCGGCGGGACATGCCCGGAACACCTCCCGAGGGAGGTGCCCAGGAGGCATCCGGAACAGATGCCCGAGCCTCAACTGGCTCCTCTCGATGTGGAGGAGCAGCGGCTCTACTCTGAGCTCCTCCCGTGTGACTGAGCTCCTCACTCTGTCTCTAAGGGAGACGCCCAGACACCCTGCGGAGGAAACTCATTTCGAGCGCTTGTATCCGCGATCTCGTCCTTTCGGTCACTACCCAGAGCTCATGACCATTTCAGGGTCAGGGAATCAAATGGTGCTAGTTACAAACCTGTAAGACCTACCCACATTAACCCTTAGATGAATAAGTGGGTCAAAAATGACCCAGTTTGGTTGTTTTCTTGTATTTTCACTGTAATATTCACATGTAATACTCCATGTTCCTCCAAAAACATGTTTTTTTTTTTTTTTTTATCCTGCTGAAATACATCAACAATATGGGTAAAACAAATTATAAACATCACATGCAGCTGGTCAGAAAACTCAAACAGTTTAAAAGTAGCTCACATAAAATTTGGATGTTGGATGTAAACAAACACATTTAGACACAATATGATTACACAACTTTTTTATGAGACATTTTCTATACATCATCATTATCATCATCACTTTCATACAACCATAGACTGTATATATGAGTGGACAGATCTAACGCTGGAGCCGCCGTGTGCCAAACAGGAAGTTCTCCAGGAGGCTCTTCCGGCTCCTTCTGACTCTGGCTCCAGTGGACTTACATTAGGATCTTGTGGCTCGTCTCTCTGTACCTGCTGCAGTGAGCCTTGACATTTTGGTCTTAAAATGTTTGTATGAACCCGATCTACATGATCCTGATTTTTTTTTTTTTTTTTTGCTATTTTGTCCATCAAAAAAAAATCCTATTCATAATATAAAGCCCATGGCTGGATGAGGTCCATCCTGAGTACCTTAAGTCTCTGGATGTTGTGGGTCTTGGTTGACACGCCTCTTCAACATCGTGTGGCGGTCGGGGACAGTGCCTCTGGACTGGCAGACCGGGGCTGCTGACCTGCGCCATCAGCCCCTCCCAGCACCACCATCACTCACACACACCACTTTCATATTAGGCAATGTGAGTGAAGTGTCTTGCCTAAGGACACAGCCTCCTGTGGCTCCTGATTTTCCCAGTGTCTCCATCCAAGTCCAGACCCAGACCAGACCTCTGAGCTTCTGAGATTTGACGGGCTCAGACTTTGACAAACCAATATGGGCATTAAAAATATACACTATTTATTTATTTTTTCTTTCTGTGACATCTGATTTATGTGCACAAAAAAGTAATTAAAAATAAATAAATAAATAAAATAATGAGTGCGCTGTTTTGCAACGTCAAACGTCTGAACTACATTTCCCATCGTCCCACCGGCGGAAGTGCGCGGTGTTTACGTCCTGGCGCGGGGCATTGTGGGTACATGATGGGGTGAGTTGCATAAGGGAGTCTGAAGGACCTCTGCAGGGACGCGCGGCGCGGGGACGTGAGTGTCCGCAGCCGCATCTCAGCGCCTCTGTGCGGGGCTCCATGCACCGGGCCCGGAGCCTGCGGAGCCTGCGGGGCCTGACCGGGCTGCAGCTCTCCCCGGCCCGCTCCGGAGCTCACTGTGCCCGGCGGAGGAGCTGGAGCGCGGGCCTGAGCGCGGCCGGAGCGGGGGGGCTGAGGCTGTGCGCGAAGCCCGGCTGGGGGCCGCTCTCCGCCGGGAACACCTCCTCCAGGGCGCTGTGCTCCGGCCCGGAGAGGGACCTGTCCTCCGTGTCCGTGGTGGGCAGCGCGGACCCCATCACCTGGGTCCGCTGCAGGTTCATCATCCTCCTCATCAAGCTGCTGTTCGAGCTGGACCTGGCCTCGGAGGAGTTTAACTCAGGGGCCAAACAGGTGAGAGGGGCCAGACCCAGGGGCCAGACCCAGGGGCCAGGGGCCAGACCCAAGGGCCAGACCCAGGGGCCAGACCCAGGGGCCAGACCCAGGGGCCAGACCCAGGGGCCAGACCCAGGGGCCAGACCCAGGGGCACTTGTGCGGGGTGTGTCTCTGCGTTTGACCCATTTGTCTACAAGTACAACATGATTAATAACAACAACAACAAACAAGTGAACCACGTGATTATGTAAAACAGTTGGGGCAGGACTCCATTAGTTTTATAAACTTCATCCTCCTCCTTTTGAGCACAAATATGTTCATGTTCATATCACTGTTTTGGTTATTGTTTTTGAATTTTGTTGTACCTGCTCAAACAAATGAATTAATTCATTAATAAGTGTTGGGAAGGTGACTTTTAAAATGTAATCCCCTACAGATTACAGATTACACACACCAAAATGTAGTTTGTAACAGAATCCATTAAATTACTTAAAGTGAGTAATGTAATCTGAATACTTTGGATTACTTGATTTGCTGTAGAGAAACAAAGACGAGGAAATCTTCACATAAGAAGTTTTGTCTGATAAAAGAAAATAAAAAGTCCAGACTTTTACTGAACCAAATTAAAAATATTATTGATAAAAGACGAAGAAACACGTCCACACAGCAGGATTTAGTCCTGTTAAATCCTGTTTTAGTCCTGGTTTGGACCTGGTTTAGTCCTGGTTTAGTCCTGGTTTAGACCTGGTTTAGTCCTGGTTTAGTCCTGGTTTAGTCCTGGTTTAGACCTGGTTTAGTCCTGGTTTAGTCCTGGTTTAGTCCTGGTTTAGTCTACGGCAATGAGTGGAATTACCGAAAAAAAAAAGAAAAAAAAAGAGGGATATGAAAACCTCTGTGTAATCCATTTATTTCAACAAAGTAACTGTAATCCAATTACCACTCATTGAAACAGTAACTGTAACTGAATACAGTTACTCATAATTTGTATTCTGATTACTTAACTCCGGTACATGTAATCTGTTACTCCCCAACACTGATTAATAACAAGGTCACAGGCAAATAAAACCTGGATCAATCACAATAATAATCTATGAAAATAAATAATAGTGAATGCTCCAATTACTACAAGAAGAGAATATTTTAGTTTTAAAGTGCTCTTATGTTATTTCCTACAGACCTGGAGTTGTGTTTTGTTTCATTCACACACGTTTAACACACAAACCCTGCAGATCTGGGTTTCTCTCAAACCAAAAACACACCGTTCCACTTTGTGATGTCACGTGGTGACACTCGAGTGCTTCACTGTGGTTTTAAACTCCATGAATCTCCACTAGAATCAGCCTGGTTCATTTCTGTCCTGGAATTCTTTTTCTGTGTAGACTTTGTTCACCTGACAGGGCGACAGGTGCGTCAAGAAAACTCAACGCTTCGGTTCGATTCAGTTCAAACAAAACGTGTATCAATAAAAGAAAAAACAGGAGTGCGTGAGTTTTCTTGAATCTCAAAACAAAAGGAGCTGTTAACTTGTAAACTCCTGCTTTGTGACGTCATGATTTCCAACCAGAAGTAAAATTTTAAACCTAAAAAAGTCCAAAGTGTGAAGAGAATTATGCAATTTTTAACTAAATCTTAAACATCATGAACCTCAGAGAGTTTTATTAAAATGACCCTGTAAGCTTTTAGTTTTCCTCGTGTTGTTGACTCGTTTTGTCCTTGTCCCAGGCGCTGGTCCAAGTGTCTCACCTGATGTCCACGGGGCAGTTCCACAGACTCAAGGGGGCTCGTCTCTGATGAGGTAAAGTGTTAATACTGTCTTATATATATATAAAGTTATTATACTACAGGCTAAAGATGGGAATTTGATAACGTAATGACTGATTTTCAATCCAGTCCACTTTATTTCTGTCGCTCATTTCACAAACAAACAGTTTCCAAAGTGCTGCACAAACACATAATAACAACAATAATAAAATGATAAAATAAACTACTAAAATAATCATACTAGTCTTAAAATAATAAAAATAGTAAAATAAAATAGGAGCGAAATCGCAGAATAGCAATAAATAAGTAAAACCAATAAAATACATAAACAATAAATAAAATAAATAAAAGACACAGAGGAGTGAGAGAAATGACTTCATGATGTTGTGTGTTTCTCCTGTGTTTGTGTTGTTAGCCTGATTTTGTGTGTGTGTGCAGATGATGGAGTACGTGGAGACCAGGACCAAGGCTCTGTCCCGCGCTCAGAAACTACAGCTCCCCGTCCTCACTGATGACATCATCTTCCTGCTGCCGGAGGACGTCACCGTCGTCTTTGACCAATACGGTGAGCTCAGTTTATTCTTTTTATTTTTTATATTAATGGATTTGTACAAGTCAATTACATTGGAAGCACAAATTGTTGAAAAATAGAGCACTTTTTGCACAAACACAATCTATGTTACTTGACATGACTTTTTTTTTTTCTCCCTTCTTAAATATCAACACAGGAGTTAATAAATACACAAAAGAACCAAAAAACAAAAGGGCAAGTGAAAACATGTTTTAAAACCTTGTCTCCTCTCCTTACTTCCTTTCTGTTAGAAAACTAATTCACACAAAACCGGGTCTCAAACTGTTATATATTGGATCCACTTCTGCCAAAACACATGAAATTTTTCCTTTTGAAGTCTCAATGACATTGTAAGTCTTTCCTTCCAAAATAATTCATACACAGTATCATACAACTCTTCCATTACTGATTAATCTGTGTATCATTCGTTCATTCATTTTTCAATATAAAACCAAAAATAAGAAAATGAAAAAACAACGATTTTCTTCATTATTTGTCTCCAAAACCAAAATGAAAAAACAGATAATGATTCATTTTTTCAGTTTTCAATTTTGTGTTTAAATGAAGAATGGAAAAAACGGATAACGACTGTTTCCCGTTTACATGATGAAACTTTTGAACCGCATACGGACTGAACCAGGACTGATCCAGGTTTGGGACCAGACCGGGACCAGACCGGGACCAGACCGGGACCAGACCGGGACCAGAGCGGACTGCGAGCTTTGACTCCGAGCCTCTGCGGAGTCCAAGCCTCAGCTTCGAGCTCCGGTCTGGTCCCGATCTGGTCCCGGTCTGGTCCCAAACCTGGATCAGTCCTGGTTCAGTCCGTTTGCAGTGCAAAAGTTCGACATCGCAGTCACAGAAGTCACGTAAACAGGAAACAGTCGTTATCCGTTCGCAGTGACTCAGTTGTTCAGTCGTGTCTAGAAGCGGCACGTCGCGCTCGCTTTTTCGGTTCGTTCCTCCGTTCCGTTCCTCGTCGGCGTGGAGTGATGAGTGTGTCTGTGGCTGTCTGCTCCGTGTGTGTGTGTTGCGGCTTTGTAGTTTACTGAAGTCGTAATGGGACACTCGAGTGGATTCATGTATGGGGCGCTCTGGATTGTGGCGCGCAGTCGTTTTTTGATGCGGTTGGAGGCTTAAGAGCGCGTCTAATAGCCCGGAAAATACGGTAATATATTTATTTTCGAAGGGGTGTACTTCATTTAAGCTGAGCACTGAATGTAAAATATGGCTGATTATGAGAAATAAAGAAATGAGGTCACCAGGGACTGAAAATCTGAGGTGAGAGAAATGTGATTTAGTTTGTAAATGATGGTGACCAATGAGCTTCTTTTGTTTCACTGAAATAAATGAATCAACAGAGGCGGCGTGACCAGACTGATATGATTTTAAAAATACAGGAAGAGCAGTCTGGATTTGTCGGGCAGGAGCACTGGAGGCGCTCGAGTGTAAACGTGCTGTAAAAACCCTGCAGGTGTTCAGACGGAGCTTGAATTGTACATTTGAAAGAGTCTGAACTCTGTCAGAGAGAAACACGTGGTTTTGAACGTTCTGAACATTGTGTCTGCGTCAGGGAGGAAGTTCTGCTCCATCACGATGCGCTTCTGGTTCCTGACGGCGCTGGAGGGGCCCGAGGACCCCGAGGCCACCAGGGTGTTCAGGGTGGCCCCCGGTGAAGACGGACGCCAGACGACCAAAGTGGCAACCGCAGTTTACGAGTACGTATCACACACAGACTGAATAACACTAGTTTAACTTTATTTACTGATGGAACTCCATGGATTCTACTGTGACGACTGAGGGATTTTTCACACATTTATTCACTGATGTATGATTTTAACTTTCACTTTCCATGGAATCACCTCCAGAAAAACACATACTGTAACTTTAAATACTAAAATATTTGATATAAACAATTACTGAAGTATTCAAAGTATTTTTTCATACAAATTATTTTAAATATGTTGAAATAAATAAATAATAAAATGAATTACCTTAATTTCTGGATTACTGAGCGCACCTGAATATAAGCAGCATCAATAAAATTTTAACTCAATTTTAACATGAACATATACAGGCTGCACTTGTCTATAAGCCACATGTGTCCACTCATTATTACCAACCACCACAAACCAGGGGTCTCCCAGTTTTTGATTTTTAAATGTGGTCTGAGTTCGATGCCTATAAAACATAAACCATTATCCATTTATTTGTTCTCAATGTTAAGCATCAAAATGACACATGTACAATGGTAAAAGGCATTTAACTTATAAAATTTTACATATTCAAGAATCAGAGAATCAGAGGATCAGCTCTTCTAAGTCTGAGGTCGTGGTTCTCGACCGGAAAAAGGTGGTTTACCCTCTCCGGGCGGGTGGGGAGTCTCTGCCTCAAGTGGAGGAGTTCAAGTATCTCGGGGTCTTGTTCTGGAGTGAGGGGAGGATGGAGCGTGAGATTGACAGGTGGATCGGTGCAGCGTCGGCAGTGATGCGGTCGCTGTATCGGACCGTTGTGGTGAAGAGGAGCTGAGTCAAAAGGCGAAGCTCTCGATTTACCGGTCAGTCTTCGTTCCTCCCCTCACCTCTGGTCATGAGCTCTGAGTGGTGACCGAAAGGACGAGATCGCAGATACAAGTGGTCGAAATGAGTTTCCTCCGCAGGGTGTCTGGGCGTCTCCCTTAGAGATAGAGTGAGGAGCTCAGTCACACGGGAGGAGCTCGGAGTAGAGCCGCTGCTCCTCCACGTTGAGAGGAGCCAGTTGAGGCTCGGGCATCTGTTCTGATGCCTCCTGGGCACCTCCCTCGGGAGGTGTTCCGGACATGTCCCACCAGGAGGAGGCCCCGGGGAAGACCCAGGACACACTGGAAGGACTATGTCTCTCAGCTGGCCTGGGAACACCTCGGGGGTCCCCCGGAGGAGCTGGAGGACGTGTCTGGGGTGAGGGAAGTCTGGGAGTCCCTGCTTAGGCTGCTGCCCCCGCGACCCGGCCCCGGATAAGCGGACGAAAATGGATGAATGGATGGAATTTTACATATTCAGCACGAATACGTGTAATTCAGAAATCCCTTGGCGAGCTCCTTGGAAGAAGCTGCAGAGCTACAGGTTGGAGAAACCTGGTTTAAGAAAACATGAAATATAATATGTTTTTGTTTGTTTGTTTGTTTGTTTCAGGTTCCGTCGAGAGCTGACTCGAGGGGCCTCTCCAGACTGGACCGTCATCACTGTGTGGCACTGGCACTGGACTCTGGCCCCTGAGGCCCCAGACTGACACCAGACTGACACCAGACTGACACCAGACTGACACCAGACTGACACCAGACTGACACCAGACTGACTCTGGGCTACAGGAACCAGCAGGGGCCAAAAGACACTGTCAGAGTGAAGCGTTCACATGGAGCTGCCGCCTTTACCTCACTTGCCTTTTTAAACACTTTGACCACATGAGCTTTTCAACTGAGGCTTTTTGTACGAGTAAAATGTTCAAATAAATTTATAATTTTATTTTTAAACTATCACTGTGCCATTTGTTACATTTTCTTTAATGAATTAGTAAAAGATTTGACTCTAAATGCGGCGGGGGGGGGGGGAGTCCTTGAGTCCTTGAGTCCTTGAGAGCATTTATCTGTAAACATCAGGACTCAGGCCTTTTGTAGTTTTCAGTGCTTTAGTTGTGCTCTCCTCTGTCTTTAGCTTTTTGTTACACAAAATCATGTTCCCACAAGCAGAATCACCAAGCAGAGACGATTCTGATCCCAAATATGAATAATTCATATCTACATCCACAATTTCCTTCTTTTAATTACAATCTTACACACATTATAACTTGAAGCAAAAACACTACAGTTCACATCAGATTGTTGTCCAAAACATTTGATTCTTTACTTCTGAATTGTCCGTTTTATTGATGGGTGATGTTATGAGTGTAAATTACAACAGTACTGAAAGTATCACTACTTAGAATATTCACACATGTGTAGTAGAAATCCAAGTAGAGGCAGTAAAATTCTATTTTTCAGACCTCAGTTTGTGTGAACAGAGGTTTTATTTCAGATCTGAAGCAGGAACCCGCCTCCAGATCATGAGCCGGACTTGGTCAGGACGACTTTAACTGGAGTTTTGTTTATTGTGCATATTTTACTACTACGAATACTACTACTACTATTACTACTACTACTACTACTATTACTACTGCACTTGGTACGAGCTTCACAGGTTTGTCAAAGTCTCTCAAAGCACCACACTGTTTCTCAGATTTGGCAAAAGGATCCAAAGTGTTCAAACTTCAGCCTAAACCTTTTCGTAGAATAACTTTAGTCCATCCATCCATTTTCTTCTTCTTATCCGGGCTGGGTCTAAGCACGGGACTCCCAGACTTCCCTCACCCCAGACACTTCCTCCAGCTCCTCCGGGAATAACTTTAGTGTTATGCATCATTTCTGTGTTAAATCGTTGTAATATGATTAATGATTATGGAAAAAAGAATATATAATAAACATAAAACTAACAGTCACTCCACACCAGACACATCAAACTCAGGCCCGGGGTCCAAATTTGGTCCGTGATGGTTGTTAAATTGTTAAAAAAAAAAAAAGGTTTAATATTACAGATCTGGAAAGAAGAGAAAACATGCAGATGCTGTTGAAATTGTTCAGTAAATATTCAGTTTGGCCCACGACTTAGTTCCAGGTTTTAATGTTGGCCTCTGTGAGTTTGAGTTTGACACTTGTGATCCACACGTTAGTTTAGTCGACTGTGTCACTAAAGCGTCGTCGTTGTTTCCTTTAAGTTTTGGTCTTTCTTCTCTTGATAGTTGTGGATAAATTGTTCATGTTTAGAATGTTTGTCCTTTGTGGAGTTTGTTGGCAGTGTTGAGGAGTAACAGATTACATGTACATGAGTTATGTAATCAGAGTACAAATGATGAGTAACTGTATTCAGTTACAGTTACTGTTTCAGTGAGTGGTAATTGGATTACAGTTACTTTGTTGAAATAAGTGGATTACACGGCGGGATTTTCCTGCTTTCACATTTTGGGCTATAGTCTAAACCACATCTAAACCAGGTCTAAACCAGGTCTAAACCAAGTCTAAACCAGGTCTAAACTAGGTCTAAAACCAGGTCTAAAACCAGGTCTAAACCAGGTCTAAAACCAGGTCTAAACCAGGTCTAAACCAGGTCTAAACTAGGTCTAAAACCAGGTCTAAAACCAGGTCTAAACCAGGTCTAAAACCAGGTCTAAACCAGGTCTAAACCAGGTCTAAAACCAGGTCTAAACCAGGTCTAAAACCAGGTCTAAACCAGGTCTAAACCAGGTCTAAAACCAGGTCTAAACCAGGTCTAAAACCAGGTCTAAAACCAGGTCTAAACCAGGTCTAAAACCAGGTCTAAAACCAGGTCTAAACCAGGTCTAAACCAGGTCTAAACCAGGTCTAAACCAGGTCTAAGGACTAAATCCTGCTCTGGTGGACGTGTTTCTTCTCTTTTTCTATCAATAATATTTTTTTTATTTGGTTCAGTAAAGTTTTGGGATTTTTTATTTTCTTTTAGCAGATAAAACTTCTTATGTGAAGATTTCCTCGTCTTTGTTTCTCTACAGCAAATCAAGTAATCCAAAGTAATCAGATTACATTACTCACTTTAAGTAATTTAATGGATTCTGTTACAAACTACATTTTGGGGTGTGTAATCTGTAATCTGTAGGGGATTACATTTTAAAAGTCACCTTCCCGACACTGTTTGTTGGTTGAAGATTTGGTGATGGGGCAGATTTATGAAGCTGCTGGAGAATATTTACACAGTTCTGGCACACAGCGTCCAGCTGCTGTGAAGACGGTTTATTCAACTGCTGCAGAAGAATAAGTTTGGTGTAACTGACGACCAAACTGGGAGAAACGGGGATAAAATCTGATACAAAATGTGGGAACGTAGGGCCTAATTATGGAAAGAAATTAGGCCCTGGTTTAGCTCTGGTTTAGACCTGGTTTAGTCCTGGTTTAGACCCTGGTTTAGACCTGGTTTAGTCCCGGTTTAGTCCTGGTTTAGTTCTGGTTTAGTTTAGTCCTGGTTAGTTGGTTTAGACCTGGTTTAGTTCTGGTTTAGACCTGGTTTAGTTCTGGTTTAGACCTGGTTTAGACCTGGTTTAGTTCTGGTTTAGACCTGGTTTAGGCCTGGTTTAGTTCTGGTTTAGTCCTAGTTCAGTCCTGATTTAGACCTGGTTCAGTTCTGGTTTAGACCTGGTTTAGACCTGGTTTAGTTCTGGTTTAGTTCTGGTTTAGACCTGGTTTAGGCCTGGTTTAGTTCTGGTTTAGACCTGGTTTAGACCTGGTTTAGTTCTGGTTTAGACCTGGTTTAGGCCTGGTTTAGTTCTGGTTTAGTGTTTAGTTCTGGTTTAGACCTGGTTTAGTCCTGGTTTTAGTTCTGGTTTAGACCTGGTTTAGTTTGGTTTAGTCCTGGTTTTAGTCTGGTTTAGTTCTGGTTTAGACCTGGTTTAGTACTGGTTTAGTTCTGGTTTAGACCTGGTTTAGTACTGGTTCAGTCCTGATTTAGACTTGGTTTAGTCCTGGTTCAGCTCTGGTTTAGCTCTGCTTTAGTCCTGGTTTAGACCTGGTTTAGTCCTGGTTTAGTCCTAGTTTAGACCTGGTTTAGTTCTGGTTTAGTCCTGGTTCAGAGTAAACACGGACACGCTCCCGAACCTTGAACCTTCAAACCTTCAAACCTTCAAACTCCGACGATTTTCTCTCCTTGAACTCGTCGCGCGGGAAAAGTTCCCTCACCTTTATTTGGTTAACCCACTTTCGAGGCACTTAATATTTTTAAACGCACGAACCCGGTTAATCCCCTGGTCCTCGTGGGCGTATGTTCTCGCGCACGCGGCGGCGGCGGCACGACAGTATTTCAGAAAGTGAATAAATAACAAATCAAAATAAAGAGGTTTGAAACGCGGTGACTAATGCTATCGGAAAATTCCCCACCTGATTACGGCTCCTCAAACGCAACCTGTGCTTCTCATGCGGTGCCAGAACCCGTCTGCGTCGCTCCCGCCTGACAGACCTTGCTATTAATGTTGACAACGCTTCTGACAAATTCTGGAATTAGCCACCAATAATTCACGGCGCGGATTATTGCCGCCGTTTTCGAATGCTAATGCGGCGGCGGAAGTTTGCGCGTGGGCGGCTGTCGCTAATGAGATTAAAGCGAGCACGTGTCAATACGCGTCCCGATACGGCGATGGCGGCGGCGGCGGCAGTGGTGTTTTTTTTTTTTTTTTTTTTTTAGGGGATTGGACACGCTTGCGCATCGCTCTGTCGTTAAAACAAAATTAAACAAAAATGAAAACAAGACGGCATTTTTATTAGCGGAGTTTTGACGGCGCGAGATTTGCGGCGGGCGCGTCATTAATCCGGTTAGAGGCACAAAAGCGCGGGAACGTTCGGTTGTCGTTTTAAAGTATCTGTGAATTAAAGCGTCGCAAAGATGTGGGTTTAATGATGACAAATTTGGTCATAAGCGCGACATGGAGATTAGTAGAAATAATAAATATTTGATGATTAATAAAGGACGAGGACAAAAGTGAAGATGACGAACTCGACGGAAATTAATTTACATGTTTCTTCAATAGATTTGAGTCACAATGTTT